ATGGCCAGGTTGCTTAATCAAAGCAAAATAGACATAAGTCTGCTGAAGCTGTGGAACAATTATTCCCAATTTTGATTTATTTTTTTCAGTGAGTGATTTATTACAAGGATTATAGGAATCACAGGTATTCTGGTGTGTTTGTTGTGTTTTGGAAGTTGTATTTCAGAGAATCCATGATTTTGCATGTGGCCATTAACTACGAACTCCCAAATTTGGGATTGCTCTTGAGAAACTTCCAGCGTCTATGAAACTAATGTAGTGTAACAGGGATCCGAATACTATCAAACACCAGGGAAGCTAGGATGTGCAGGAGCAAACCACTGTATTAAATATTTCTGTAGCAATAAAACTCACCTTTTGTTGGGGACAGGGCCAGCATGCAGTGTGAAGATAATCTGATGGCGTGTTTGTGTTGGGATAAGAGCTGCTGTCTGGGGTGGTCTTTAAAATCCTTCCTTGTGCAGGGGGTGGTTTGTAAATAATCCAGTTTCACAGAGAAATCTCATTGACAAATGTTAACCGAAGTGATAAGGAGAACAATCAATTATTTAGAGAGTGGAAACAGCCTCCAGTAGGCTGTACAACTGCAAACAAACACTCCCCAGACTCAACCACTTGGCAGGATTTCAGACCACATCTGAGCTTTACCCTCAGCCCAAGAGATCCGAAAACTCCTCTCTCTCCTTCTCTCTCTCTCTCTGAGCAGAATTTCCAGAGGACTTCAGCTTCCATGAACAAGGGTACTTTAAGACATTATGACCCTGTTTCCCCAAGAGGAGGTTGGTGGATCTCACCAATCAACTGGATGCTTTCTTCTGCATCTTTCAGTGACCAAGGGTGCCTCAATCCTGGATATCATGCTTCCTTAAGATACTCTGCTTTAGGAAATATGGAGGTCAGGTGCGCAGCACAGACAACTATCAAAGTGCTTGGGACTGATAGCAACCCAAGGTCAAAGAGTGGAGCGGACCCAGCTTTAATTTATTAGTGCTTTTAAAGCATTTTATGCATTTTGACATGCTTAGCAACAATGTATTTCACTTCCAAAGAAAAGAGGGATTCAAATTGGTTGAGTGAACAATGTAAACCTAAGCACCGAGGAGGACAAGACCCCTGTTCAGCTGTGTTGAAGAGGAAGGAGCAGCTTTTCACACTCTGCCCCCCACCTCAAAAAAGCCCTTCTAAAGAACTATGAAAGTTACTGGCACCCTATCTTCCTTTGAGTCTTAGATTTGGGGTGAGGAAGCCATGGCCTTCCAGATGTTGTTGGATCCTTAATAATGTCATAGTTCTGAGCTGCTGGTGAATGGTAGAAATCAACAAATTGTAGTATTAAGGTAATAACTGAGATATGAAGGGAAAATACAAGCTGCAGAACTGTACTAGGAAAGAAATTCCTGGGTTTGCTTATGCAAATCAGTCTGGCTAGGCCAGCTAAGTGCAGAGCCATTGAGAAACTATGGGGAAACCAGGTACTGGGCCATTAAGTGCAACTGGCGATGCAAAAAGCCATCCTTCACCTCCTGCTCTGAGAAGTAGACAGAGACAAGAGATTTGGGAGGTTGCCAAGGCAATGGGGGATGATGTCACAGAAAAATGTGTCTTTTTTGAAATCTAAAGATGTTCTGGGGACAAGGAGGAGGAGGTAGCCAAACTCCATGAGGTGCTGGTGGCTGGAGGAGGCTGCTGCACCCTGGAAGCCTGCTACTTTGGACCCAAGCTTGCTGAATCTATGAGGGAACAATGAGAGGCACTCTTGGGGTATAATGTTCGCTATAAAAGTCATCATGCCCATTTATTTCAGTGGGCCTACTCTGAGTAGGGCTAACATTGGCTACAACCAGACACTCAGCCCAGACACTGAGGTCCAGCTCCGAGGGCCTTCTGGTGCTTCCCTCACTGAGAGAAGTGAGGTTACAGGGAACCAGGCAGAGGGCCTTCTCGGCAGTGGCACCCGCCCTGTGGAATGCCCTCCCATCAGATGTCAAGGAAATAAACAACTATCTGACTATTAGAAGACATCTGAAGGCAACCCTATCTGGCAAGTTTTTAATGTTTGATGTTTTATCATGTTTTTAATATTCTGTTGGGAGCCGCCCAGAGCAGCTGGGCGGCGTATAAATAATAAATTATTATTATTATTAGTGCTTTTTTTCTTTTTCTTAAAAAATGTTTAGGGCTACTCTCATTTTACTATTCATATTGAAAATACTGCCCCTCAATGAGGCCAAACTTAGATTCACAAAATTTTAGGGGTGTGTGTACCCCTGCATACCCCCAGAAAAAAGCAATTATTATTATTATTATTATTATTAAAATAGAAAAATAATACCTCTCACAATTGTGGGGAAGACTATGGTCATGGGAGCTGTGTTCCTGCTCAACCTGCTATCTAGGTGCAGCTTCAAAGTGCTTCCTGTTCTCCTTTCCTGTGGTTCTTTCTCTTTTAACTGGACTTTGTCCATATAACCCTTCAAATAGAGAGCAGTTCTCTTGAACGTAGCACTCATGGTCACCTTATTTCCAACTCTAGCACCACCGGAGCCCTGGCATTGGAAGAGGGACAGCCATAGAGCTTTCTGTACCTGCAATGAGTAGGCGTTGGATGGCAGACCCCCTTTCCCCCTGCGGTGAGGTCAGTAATATTCTGCGGCTCCTGCAACACCCTCACAGGGACCACAGGCTTGGGCTCTTGCACATTATATCAATTTGAACTGGGTTCTCCTGCTGCCAGGTGCCATATATTCCATTATTGTTAACCTTCTTTGTTCATGTTATCAGCAAGCATGCTGGTTAGGGAGTCTGAGGGTGTGCAGACATTAGCACCTTAAAATGCAGCAAGGTCGTTTCCCCTGCTGTGTTTCAAACCACATTTTACTTCACGCCATTACCTGATTTGTTTCGCCACATCTGCAACCCTTCTGAACTCCTATTCAACAAAGCAATCATCTGTGCATGTGCTGTCATCTGCACATGCGCAACAGGTGTCTCAAATATACTGAATACATATAGTTTGTGGCTAACGTCATGTGTGCTCTGTTTCAAGCATCAGCCCGGGGAGTGCGCTGGAGCCTGAGTAAATGGTATGTGTACACAGCCTGGGATTTTGTGTTGTTTAACCACTGAGGAGAACCATTTGGGATAGAAAATGTGTTCAGTTTTAATACAAATTTCTCTGACTTTGTTACTGTTTGAACATTGCACTATTTGATTTGTGACTGATGTCTGAGATACATATGTGCCAGGGCTAGGCCTTTTTTTGTTGTTGTTCATTTGGTTGATTATGATGGCATGTTTCCCCCTTTGGTTTTCGAACTGTTCCCTTGACTTTTGCTGTTGGCTTAGGTTGCTCCTTTTTTTATCTTCCAGAAGTATTCTACTATTAGAACAAAGGGCTTAGAACTAGTGAGTTTACTAGGGCTCAGCCTTGGTGCCTGTGTTTTCAACGCCAGGCACGTCTCAGCCTTGGTAGAGGTGGCATTAATTAGAAAGCAGAGGTTAGGTTTCTGAGCACAGGCAAAGTATATTTCCCTCACTCAGTGAGTAACTGCAGCTCTTCCACCCACAGCTGGAAGGCGTGTGTGTGTGTAAGGTTTTAAATGCATGGCTTCTAGATAGACCCTGAGACGCAGAGCTTCTCTCTTTTTAGAAATGAGGGGTGTGTGCGTGTGTAAGGAAACTGCCAAAGTTGTATGAGGAATGTAGGCAGACCATTCTCTCTTTTTTTTCAAGGCAAAAAAAAAAAAAAAGTTGCCATATTTTCACTCCATAACTCACAGAGACATAAGCCCATTCAGTGAATTTCGAAGTGGGTTAAAGGTATGTCTCTTAATTATCCTCCCAAAATATTCTCGGTTAATGGCTTTCAAATGTTGGCATCTGTCCTTTCCTTGTGCACTTTGGCTGCTGGCTCCGTTTCAAGCATACAGCAACTCCTCCAGGACTGAGATATTTAAACACCATCTCCTCTCCGGTTTCAGCAGCGTGTTGTAAAGAAAACAACTCCTGCCGGCTGCAGCAGGAAATCACTATTTGGCTTTATGAGGCACCTCTTCCTGACAGCCCTCACTGAAAAGTCTTTGCGAGATTTACAGGGTTAGTATCCCACAGCCAGTCCAGCCCGGTCCCTTTTTGCTCCCATCACAACTCCTCCTGGAAAGAGCAGAGCGGTGGGCCTGGAATGTGGCACTCTCCAGAATAAGAGACCCTCCACTCTATTCGCTTGTTAGGCTTGGCCATGACTGGAGACAAGAAATGGATGAGGAAAGGAGGCCCTTGCTGACAGCAGATCCAGGAACCAGAAACTAGGGGTATAAAAACAGGGAGGTCCAAAATACAGTCCAAATGCAGAATAGGGTATCTGTATAAACATACCGGAGTAGAGGCCTGAGGCAGAAAAAACATCCTTTGCTCCAATGATCCAAACAAAAGAAAACACAACACTTGCCTTACCCAGCCAGTGATAATAGAAGAACTTTCACTGAAGAAGAAAACAAGCCACCACCCCCCCCCAAAAAAATCCACCCAGAAATATGGATTCTGGCACTAATAAGAAGCAAATAGCTTTGCGCACAATGGTGCAACTTGCTATTGGACCAGGCAAATGGACATGAGACAAACCCCAAGTACTGTGTTTGAGCCAATCATAGATGGAAGACAACGATTCCTCATTTCTGCAGACATAGCTTGCCTTGCCCACAGCACCACGTTATATCCTCCCAACATCTGACAAACAGGATATGGGCTTTCTTTTTAGTAAACACTAATCAGCAAACTAATTTCTTAGGAATAAAACTCCAGGTTTCTGGCCAGTGTAGGATTCCTACCAATCTTCTCATTGTACTCCTGCAGCCAATGGGGGGGGGGGGAAGAGATTGAAATTAAGAGGAATTTGGAAATCCAATACAGTCTATTAGCATTGCCACCAGCTACATCAGCCTTCCAAAAAGCCTACAAGCTCACATGGTTTTTTAACTACACTATATTCTACCTCTTCCTATGTACTCACATTTGCTATGTATGGTCTAAGAAAAGAAACAACTTATATCGTGTTTCACTGTCTGTTTGCTGGAGAGCGAGACCAGTTTCATACATACTAACAGCTTAGTGCTGTTAAACCTTTCTCTCTGTACCATCAGTATACAGTTTCTAAGGGCCCAACTACTTGTGATGTTAAATGCGACTCTGCATATAATGTGCTGGTTTTCTGAATTACAAATTGTATCAGGTTGTGGAGGGTGGGGAGCTGATAATAGGATCAAGGCAGGCACAGAGCAGGAATGTAACCCTTTCACTCCTTGCAGCCCCAATGAAAACCCTTTTTCAGAAGCTGGCATTTGCTTTTGGAGGAAATTTCCCATTGGCAAACAAACAGTGGGTGGGACAGGCTCTCTAAAGCTCATATAATTTCCATTGTATGGATTTGAAACCATGTTTAAACCCCTACATGGTCTCTACACATCATGTATCACATGGCGTGGTGGCCTTTTCAGAGGTGTCTCCTCACCTGTGTTAGCTCTCTCCATTCTGAGGTGCATCTTTACCATTTTAGATTGTTGGTAAATACACACCCCACCACAATTTTTTGGGTGGGAGTGTTGGAGACCTGATTAGATAAATGGATTAGTTGCTGCTGCTGTGTTTTGTTTTTTTTGTTTTTGTTTTTGTAAATTACTATTTAATGAATTGTTATGAGTGGTAGTGTAGTTTAAGGACTGTGTTGTTTTATGGATTTATGTACTATGCGAAGGGCAGTACAGTGGTACCTCGGGTTAAGAACTTCATTCATTCTGGAGGTCCGTTCTTAACCTGAAACTGTTCTTAACCTGAGGTACCACTTTAGCTAATGGGGCCTCCCACTGCCGCCGCATGATTTCTGTTCTCACCCTGAAGCAAAGTTCTTAACCTGAGGTACTATTTCTGGGTTAGCGGAGTCTGTAACCTGAAGAGTCTGCAACCTGAAGCGTCTGTAACCCAAGGTACCACTGTATATATATAATCCGAAACAACAACAACCATTATTCGTCTGTCTAACTAACAAATTTCAAACTTCCTGCACATATGTTGTCACCTGTGATAAAGTATGTTCTGTCTGAAGTGACATGGCAGCACGGGCATCTTCTTCTCCATCCCCCTCCTCCAGACTAAGGTGAAATTGATGAAGCTAGAGGAAAGTCTTATTTCCCTTTTTGGGTTTCTTAAAATTTTTTTAAAAATATTTTGTACGGTGCATCTATGCACATGCTTTTGAAGAGTGGCAGTGCGGGGTGGGACTTCTCGTAAATCTGATAGGGTTTTCTTACACCCCTGTCAGTTTCACTTGAATCCAGAGACAGAGGACAAGCGTGAAAGGCCAGGCAATGCCAAAAGGTGGTTTAAATACACATCGTTCCCAAACTTGTTTTGCTGGGACTGCATCCGAATGAGCATCCAGGGAGGAAATGTCTTCCCCCACACTAAGCAGAGGGGGAGTGGGTAGGTTTAGCAAGATAGAAAGAAACATTGTGAACTGTGCAAATGTGTAAAAGCAGGGGAAGAATCCCATGTGCTCATGAAATATGCCAGTGTGATTTTGTCCACATTCTTACTTGCTTCAGGAAACGTAGAAAAGTGGCGATTTATGAGCCCGAGTTAAACTGGTACAGTTGGGGAGTATGTTGCACTCCACCTTCTCTCAGCTTGTTACCCCGTCCCTTCCCTAGAGTACCATTCCAGGAGCCAAGAAGAAAGAGCCACCAGCTGCCACATTATCAAGGCCTGTCTGACACTACACTTGATACATCAGCATCAATACAGAGGCTGTTTGTTCACCTACATTCATGCAGCTGATTCAAGGTGGGCATCTGAGGATGAAGCTTAAGTATATCGGAGTTGAGAAGAATGCTGGTATTTAATGAAGTGAAGGCTGCTGGGATTTCTGCATTTTGGTTGGCTCCCACAGTGCATGGATAGATACATGTGCGGGTGTGCACATGCACACACATCTGTGGATTGGGAGAGTGAGCACAAGCCATTATAAAGGCAGCAAACATCTGCTAGCATGTTGCGATGGCCAACATTTATAGCAGGAAACTGATGCCGGTTTGGTGTGCAAATGAAAAGCGGCCCCAGACACAGCAAAAGTTGGTCAGCAGTAAGAACTGATGTAAACTAAACTGAACTAGAGTGGCCACCCAGGGCTTTTTAGTTTTGGAGAGGGGGCAGGAGGGGAAGAGGAGGTACCATTTATTATCTTAGTTGGTGTTTATAACTTTAAACCAAACCAGAGCAAATTCATTGTTTAAACAAGCCTGCAGTCTCACTGGGCTGCCTGAGAAATGGAGATAAACCACCCCCTCAAAAAAGTGGTGTCCTCTGCTTGTTTAGACTCTCTAAGCTAGTCATGGGCAATTGCATTCTATAAAAGTCTGAAAAATCATAACAGGTGTTTTATGTGACTTAGACCATCAGCACCTCTCTGATTACAAGAACTCTCTCGTGGCAAAATTCCCTCATGGAAATCATTTTGGCACAGGAACATACAACGACTCCTATGTCAATCCTATAAAGAGGTAGTTAACTGTTTGCAATGGAGTGTGCAGCACATGTACCACAAAGCCACAAAGTGACGAAGGATTTACCCTTACGCAACAGAACTGCCTTCTTCACCTCCCTATGTGCCTTCTCAAACAGGGGTGGACTTTGGTAATCTTTCATAATATGGCACCCTGTGCAAGGCCAACATTTGGCACCCCAAATGGACCTTCTCAATTGTAGGTCTCAAATTTGCACCCTCTCAGCTTGTTGCTCTGTGCTAGGGAACTGTTCATACTGCCCTAAATCTGGCACTGCTCTCCAGTCTATTATGTGGTTTGTGCAACACTCTGGAGCAGATTTGTGGAGGGTGTGGGGGAATGAACAGGGGGAAGAGAGAGGGGGAAGTGATGTTGTGCAAGTGGAAATCCTCACACTAATGGAAGGAGGGTGTTGGATACTACCCATGGGTGTTAGGCTCTGGAGAAGACCACCTTTCTCCTTTGGATGCTGAGATGGTTGTGTGAATGTAAGTACTTGTACCTCAAACTGCTGATCATAGTTTTGAATGTGCATCATGTCATAGAGCAGCGGTTCTCAACCTGTGGGTCCCCAGATGTTGTTGGACTACAACTCCCATCATCCCTGAGCCTTTGCTAGCTAGGGGTGATGGGAGTTATAGTTCAACAACATCTAGGGACCCACAGGTTGAGAAAGGCTGTCATAGAGAAACCCAGTTGTGCCACCAGGGCATTTCTGGAGCAAGAACAAGTTCTCACACTTGACTTTGGGGAACTTTCCTTGTAAAGCTGGGTATTGCTTGAGACAGAGCTCATTCTCTTCGTATCCACCACATATTGAAACCCTTCCCACTCCCCCACCAGAGTAAACTCCACCCAACTGTCCCTTTTCTCCTCCAACCTGGTAGCAATGCAGAACTTAGAGGAATACGGACTGTGTTCACTCAGGGCTGTGCTGCCGGAGAAGCCAAAGTTCCCAGACAGACTGCAGTTTGGCACACGGAGGTCTTGGGCCTGCCAAGTTGGCCTCACTTCCAGTATTGGAGGATTCAGAGTGCTTCTGTTCCCACAAGATATTACATGATAGCAACGCAGATCAGATCTGGCTCTTCCACTCCTAGGCAACTATCAAACGACTTCAAGGCAGAGCAAAAGGGTTGTTTCTCGGAGTCCTGGAAATAAATGCAATGCAGAGTGCATTTATTCATTCATCCATGTACAGTATTTAAAGCCTGCTCTTAGTTGAATATTTTCAATCCTAGAGTAGGGGGGACTAAGTAATAAAGCTAAAGAGCGGGTACCAACAACATACAAGCATTGCAAAAGCATATGGACTTGTGCAACAAACAGCTAATGAATAATTCTATCATAAGGTAGACAAGCAAAATTACAATGGCAAAAATGAAAACAACCCACTTAACCAAATACATAGGTGGAAAAACACACAAGGCATTCAAATGGCCAATGGTCTTAGCAATAGTTCCCACCCCATTTTTCACTTATGACTGACAACACCGCCCCCAAACACAAAGAGGTCCCCAGGCTGTGCCAACAGATTCTCACTCAGTGGCTTTTGAAACAACAACTTAGCAACTTTCACCCCAACTCTCCAAGCCACCCAGGCTCTCGCTCTGAGTGGTATGAACTGTTGTCCACAGGCATCCACAGCAGGAAGCTCTCGCGACACGGGGTTCGTGCTACAAAACTACAAAACTTTGGCATTGGTTTGGAGGGCACCCAAAATTTGGGGGTTAATGAAGCTAACTACATACCCTCCAACATTCCTCAGAGCAAATTAGAAATGTGTAAGCAACTGCAGCATCTTGGGTGGATCAGCTGACAGACTCCCCCGCCCGACAGCCCCCCCCAGCTGCCCTGGGACTCCCCTTCACCCCAGTGCACAAAATGGGGAGACTCATCAGATTTCAAAAGGCATCACCAATTCAGCTCATGGGAGAGATCTGCTTCCAGATGACCTGTTTAGTGAGCATTCATTCTTGATTTGTTTGCAGGGAAATTATACAGTGTTGCAATACCATGCAATTGTTGTCCCTCACTTCCCTGTGCTTTCCCCCATCACATTCCTTATTGCAAAAAAATCCACTTTTGTGGGCAAGTAGGTTAGTTGTGCAAAAACTCAAATCCCCTGTAATTGCACAACCTAAGTTCCTTGGCATGTGATTGAACCCCTCGCATAAACAAGCTCTGGATCCCCAGAGATGTTTGCTTGATATCTTAATTTCATGATTTATCTCGCCCTTTTTGATTTATTTTTTAAAATCTATTTATGCTTTCTCTATATACTACTCTGGGAGCTGAAGAGCAGCTAACAAACATTTTAAATAACAAAGAGCCTGACTATTTTTAACACCTCGAAGTCAACTGGCAGTGATATTTCTGTGGATTCTGGTGTACCAAAGTCGTTTTCACTGTGTGCTTTTTGTTGACTTTTCCAGCCAGGCCTGTAAATGATAGCAGCTTTCTGTACTCCTCGCAGCACAACTTCTGTAGCGCTTTTCTTTCCTCGTCTCATTGCAGGTTGGGGGGGGGGAGGAAAAGCCCCGCACAGGCAAAATCAAGCCAGCAATTGTCTGAAGCGAAGGGGGACAAGGTGAAGCTGCCTAGACTACAGCCGTCAAGCCATTTGTTTTCTGGAGGGAAAAGCAGCAAGGCGGCTGATGGATCTGAAATGTTAATTTCTTCCAGCTGTTGTCAGTCTGGCAGGCTCTCAAAGGAAGTTTAATAGACTGCAGCCTTCTCTGCTTGTCCCCCACCCCCCATTCCACCAGCTCTGCTTAGCAGAGGCAGCGCAGCGCAATCCGATGATTAAACAAAAGTCGTGACTCCCACGGAATTGTTTTTCTTTTTGGCTTGGCTCACTTCGCTGCCATGTGTTTCCTTGCTCTTTAAATTTTCAGCTTCTTAAAGGGGAGGAAACGGTTTTGGCCAAGGGGGTAGGCAACCAATGGGGGGCACGTTTAGACGTGACTGAAAGTCAGGTGACTAGCCTTGGACGCCATTTCACAGCACTCCACAGCATGTGCCAGTTTGGTATTGCGGCCAGACAGGAAGCAGGATGGAGAAATTTTTTGCGATGAAGGAGATGAGAAAGAAGAAAACCCTCACATTTTTTTTGATTTTTTTCCTTTGAAAAATGTGTGGCTAGAAATAGCATGTGCGGTTGAAAGCAACGATTGCCATAAGGGCAAGGAAAGTACCATATTGAACCAGAATACGGATGTGTTTACTACAATATCCTAAGAGCCTGTGCCAGCCCCATTGCATGGTAGAGCAAAGGATAACCACAACCTTGGCTACTCTGCTTAAACACAACCCTCCACAACTGGCTGGGTGGAGGGTCAGTGTAGCTCTACATCAGCCAGTGAAAACATCAAGAAAGCTGTCTGTCTGCCATTTAAAGCTCTTTCTTTTGTGGTGGGAGTCACCAAAAGTAATTCAAGACACATCTCAATGAGCCTGACCAGGTACTGGCAACACTTTTTCAGATTTCCTGAACCACACGCCCCTCCACTTCAGACATGCAAGGAAAGCACTTTGGTTCATGTTAGTCCCTCACCTTTCTACAAAGCTGGTGGAGACCAGCAAGAGGCCTCTCTGGTTCCTACAGTATGGCTGACTTCCATTCTTGACAAGTGAGCCTTGCATTCACACATCCCACTGGAGAAGGTTTTCCTTGCAGAGGTTTGCTAGGTCACCAGAACAGGAGCACAGAGCCTGCAGTTTCAGCATCCCCTAACTGTTTGTTGAAAGTTAAGCTGGTGCCATTTTATAACAGCAGACAGAAGAGGAGGAAATCAAACCCTGCCTGGAAAAAAATATATTTAAAAAGATTTTCTGATGTATGTCATCCTCTAGGCTTGGGATGAAAAGAATGCAAGCAGGATTTAGATATAGATCTTGGATATTGCTCTTGAAATAGCAACAGAAACTAGTATCAAAAACATTTATATTTGGGAAGAAAAGGAAAGAGATGTGATGCGGGGCGATTTTGTGAGAGGAGCCAATCTACACTAAAGATTTTGGCTCAGAAAATTCAGTCACACTCTTTTTTTATTATTTATTCAAAGCCCACTGAGTCCTCTTTTTAATCCTTTTGTTTCATATCATCCTCACAACTACTTATAGGTCTCTTGTATCCTAATTTTATCAATGAGGAATTGAAGCTGAAAGGGTTGTAATATGACCAAGGCCACACAATGAGCTGATGGCCAAGGTGTGACCTGAAGTCAAGCTTCCCAGGGAGAAGATCAGCTCAGGACTGCAATGTCTCACTAATTCAACTTCAGCTGCCATCCTGTATGTACTTACCTGGAAGTAAGTGCCACTGGACTTAAGGGGACTTAATTTCTGAAACATTTGCTTACAAAAGCAAATTGGTCCACCCTGGCAGAAATAGTTTGGTTTCTTTTGAGTGAGAATAAAAAGCTTTACAACACACAGTGGCCCTCTATGCACTGACTGCAAAAAAAAAGAAGGAGAAAGGAAGGCGATAGATTAAATCACTATAAATTGTTGTGGTGATTTGGAGGTTAAGTTTGAAATTAAGTTGGATTTGAGTTTGTTGATGTCTCTGGTAACCTCTTATATCATGGATGTTGGCTCATATTATGGATGTATGATCTGTATTGCTTTATTGGTACTGTTGCTGCGGGTTTATCATGGCCTTTGGCTAGAACAAGAAACATGTGTTTATTACTGACACTCTAAACTGCAAGTCTACTAAGGTGATGGCTCCTATACCACCAGGTGTTGTTTTGTTTTTTGACATAGTTGCTGTGGTGCTTCTACTCAAATGTTTCTCTCTATCCATTAGGTTCAAGGTTAATATCCTTCATCTCCATCTGGCTGGACATCTTCCCTGGGCCAGCACTTTGGCCAAACCTCAACTCTTAAAAAAGGGAAGTGCATTTCCAAAAGCAATTTCCATGCAGAGACACTGTACAAAAAGAGCTCTGTGCATTAATGCCTTTTCTCGAGCTGGGAAAGCGAAGGCAGAGCTCAGGGAATGTAGTTCCCTTGCAGTCAATTAGCAATTCGACAATAAACTTTCATTATTAATATGCTCCATAATAAATTGCTGGTGGTTAAGCTGATGAAAATTAAAGCTCCCCTAAATGTAATCCATCAAAAGGGCCCTCTGGATGAAATTTGCTGGAAAGGCCATCTCACAAAGTCCATCTCACTTGCTGTTTAATAGATCTGTCTGGGGTTCCAGAAAATGGATTCCTATCTAGTCTGATCTGTTGGACACCCTGATGGTATATGTTTCAGAAGGATTTCCGTATTTATCCAGACACTGTTTTGGAGCAGGGAAGGTACTAATCCAGGGAAACTACTTATCTTAACCCCAGGAAGAAGCATGTTCTGTAAAAATAGCAAGTCTCCAGGCATTAGTATGGGTGCAGTATTGTTACCCAGTACTAGAGCATGGGATTCTGCTTAAAACCAAGTCAATCTATGAGCCCATCTAAGTCATTTCGTACTGTCTACATTGAGTGACGGTGGCTTTGCAAAATTTAAGAAGGGCTTTCTCCCAATCGCATCTGAAGATGCCAGGGAATGAACCTGGGACTTTCTGCATGGAAAACATGTCTCTATCACTGTACTACTTAAATTAAGAGTCGCACAACAGAAATCTGCTTTGTGGGGAAAGCATCAAGCCATTTATTTGTCCTTTACTTGCTAGGGTGGTACATTGTTTCTAAACTGATTGCTCCTTCCCCTCAGAGTGTTTGGGGTCAGTACCATAATTGCTTCATACTAACTCACTACTCAGGGACGCGGGTGGCACTGTGGGTTAAACCACAGAGCCTAGGACTTGCCGATCAGAAGGTTGGTGGTTCGAATCCCCGCGACGGGATGAGCTCCCGTTGCTCGGTCCCTGCCCCTGCCAATCTAGCAGTTCGAAAGCACCTCAAAGTGCAAGTAGATAAATAGGTACCGCTCCGGCGGGAAGGTAAACGGCGTTTCCGTGCACTGCTCTGGTTCGCCAGAAGCGGCTTAGTCATGTTGGCCACATGACCCGGAAGCTGTACGCCGGCTCCCTCGGCCAATAAAGCGAGATGAGCGCTGCAACCCCAGAGTCGGCCACGACTGGACCTAATGGTCAGGGGTCCCTTTACCTTTACCTTTAACTCACTACTCAGCAAACAGCATTTTGCTACACAGGGCAAAGGAAGGGATGTACATATTTAACTCCCATTTGTAGGACTTGCACCACTCAAAGTAATGGTGGCCAACTTGTGACCCCTCAAATGTTGTCGGCCCCCATCTCCCATCTGCACCAGCCAGCATGAATAATCCTCAAGGGTTAAAAGTGCAGAAGTCTTCCCAGGGGTCTGCAAGGACAACCTCCTCAGCAGTTATGTAGCACAGATTGCCACTTAGCAACCATCATTTAGTCTTCAATTGAAGAGTTAAATAGCCCATCTGATTTTTTTTAAAACCCCATCTAAAATTCTGCACATGTGCTCGCCATACAGTTTTAAGTGAAAACTGATCCTGATTTAAGTGATCTAAATTCATATATTTACCTAATCTGGACTGATTTTCAGAGCCCCCCCTGAACACACAGGGCCAGGTGGCAGTAATTGCTGGCCAATGACCCGCAACCCCTTGGGAAATAGTCTGAGAAGCATGACGCTCAATGCGTCACTGCTGCCAACGTCAGGGGAAGTGTGCCTGTCTGGCCAGCTGGCGCTGCGCAAATGGGAGAACAACAAATCCATTTACTCACTGCCCCTGCCCAGTCAGGCTGCTCAAGGCCCACGTGACCCTCCAGGCCTGTAGGCATGGGACTTGCCTTGGCATCTGGACAGCTCTTCGTTTTGGAGAGGCTTCCAAGGGAACTGTAAAAACCAAGCGTGGCGGGAGATTAATTAATTGAAACTGAAGACATCTGTTGTTAATTAATTCCCCAAAGCATGGTTAACTCTTCCTTTGCCCACTGCCTGCAGGTTTCAAAGCTTGCAAACCCCTCCGTCCTACTAAGATTCAGGCTGTTTCTGCAGTCTATGTTTGGTACGTAGGTGGCTTTTTTGGGCAGGGGTAAGTTGCTCAGATGGGATAGAGGAGGCAGGGAGCAAAAGGAGCATTTCAAAAGGAGCATTTCAGCAAATGTGGCTTTCCTCGCGTCTACATTACTGTATCTTGGCAAGCGGCACCAGCTTAAATTCTCTTATGCAGTGGCAAAACTTATGAATAAATGAGGGGTGGGGAGATACTGGCTTCAGTCAATAGGAATTCCTCCCAATGAGGAGGAAGATTTTGTATCCTTAAGCATCCACAGACAGGAATAACCCCATTCAGAAAACCCCCTAAACATGGGGGATGGTTGAACAATTCAGTGTAGAAACTGCTTGTGTTTATTTTTCTGTAAATATGAGTCCTGCCCCCCCAAAACTATGGGTATATATGTACTTGAACAAGTTCAGAGTTCCTTTCTTTTCATTGCCATGTAGTCATTGCCATGTAGTCATTATTTTTCAAGTATTAAAGTGTATTATAGGGTTAAATTTAAATTTATTTAAATAAATTTATTTATTTAAATGTATTTTATTTATTTAAATTAAAATAAAAGTATTTTATTTTATTTTGAGCTAAAGGGTGACATTTTGTCACTCAACAGTTATATCCAATTCTACAGTACTAATGACTCACCCATCATCAATGTTTATAATAAAAATTTCCGACAATTGCATTTTAAAATTCCACCTGATGTGGGAAAGCCCACTGTCACACAAGCCCCTCTAGTAGACACACTAAGTTAAGGAGAGATGACCGTATATGCCTCTCCACCTGGGAATCCTGCACAATTGGGCTTCCTGGTTGCAAGGAGGAGCCCTAAGGGCAAATGGGCCTGTCTCATGAGTTTTGAATGCACAGCCGACAAGGGTGGAGATGGCAAGAAGCTGCATCGCATTTGAGGATGTGTCCAGCAGGTGTGCATGGGATGGGGGAATGTCTGTGCATCCTAATGTTTATTGACATACTGGGAAAAGCTTTATGATTGATTTACACAGACCAAGCTGCAGCTAAAGGCATAAAAGCAGAGCAGGGCTTTTTTCTGGTTAGTTGGCAAAGTTACCGCTAGTCCATTCCTAATTGGGCTAGAGTGATGTTATGCTCCCCCCAAAGGTGGAAGAGATCAAGGCAGCCACGTCATATCCCACCCCGCTCCACCAAGCCCTTCCCATGCATTAGGTACATAGTGCTGCTTGAAGGCTTTTAAGCAACAGAATTAACAAAAAGACTGCTGCAAGCTGCACATTCCAGTTTAATGGGAATCCTTTGTCCAGCCAGCAACCTTTGCGCTTCCATCTGATAAGCTGCATGGACAGGGGCTAAGAGGAAAGGCGAAGCATGTAAGGAACCAATCAAAATAAACTTCTGGGTTTAGAGGTTAAGAGTAAGCATCACTAAGGAGCAGATGCTCCGAAGGGAATGGGAATATGCAGAAAGAAGGAATTTGGATTGCAGGGGGTGGAGGGGGAGCAACTGAGGAAGAGTGTGGAAGAAGCACAGAAAAAGGATTGGGGAGGCTGAGCAAACAAGAAAAAGGAGGCAAAAAATGCACATATACCTAAGCAGACCAGACAGACAGGATTGTCATTGGTGCATTTACTAACTAGCTGTCTGGGAACTGAAAATGACTAAGTGATAGGCTTCTGGCCAGGGTAATGTGAGACGCCCAAGGCCAAGAAAGAAAAGGAGCGGATATTGTAGCTGGTAACGGCCAGCCTTTCTCAACCTGTGGGTCCCCAGATGTTGTTCAACTACAACTCTCATCACCCCCAGCTAGCAAGGCCAGAGCTCAGGGATGATGGGAGCTGTAGTCCAACAACATCTGGGGACCCACAGGTTGAGAACCACCAGTCCAGCATTGGCCTAATGTCCAGCACAGGTTTCTGCCATTGGGGTGAGATTTCTCATGGTACCCTAGTGGTTCAGGACACAGTAGTGCTGCTGCCATATGATCTCATGCTGCTGGTGTAGCCTAGGCCTGCCCAAAGGCCACCAAGAGTGGGGTCCTTGGGAAATGCCTACAATTTAGCTGACATTCCCCTCTCCGTGGACTCAAAGGCATGTAGGGAGTTAGCAATAGTATCCCAGCCTGTTGCAGCCCAGTTTGCAGTTAAGACTCCCTTAGCCCTGTTCAGGGAAGTTTTTAATGGTTGATCTTTTATGTGCTTTTAATATTTTGCTTCTTGGAGAAAAGCAATGACAAACCTAGACAGCATCTTAAAAAGCAGAGACATCACCTTGCCAACAAAGGTCCGTATAGTAAAAGCTATGGTTTTCCCAGTAGTGATGTATGGAAGTGAGAGCTGGACCATAAAGAAGGCTGATCGCCGAAGAATTGATGCTTTTGAATTATGGTGCTGGAGGAGACTCTTGAGAGTCCCATGGACTGCAAGAAGATCAAACCTATCCATTCTGAAGGAAATCAGCCCTGAGTGGTCACTGGAAGGACAGATCATGAAGCTGAGGCTCCAATACTTTGGCCACCTCATGAGAAGAGAAGACTCCCTGGAAAAGGGAAAGATGGAGGGCAGAAGGAGAAGGGGACGACAGAGGATGAGATGGTTGGATAGTGTTCTCGAAGCTACCAGCATGAGTTTGACCAAACTGCGGGAGGCCGTGGAAAACAGAAGTGCCTGGCGTGCTCTGGTCCATGGGGTCATGAAGAGTCGGACACGACTAAACAACAACACCACAATATTTTGTTGGGAGCTGCCCAGAGTAGCTGGGTCAACCCAGTCAGAAGGGCAGCAGATAAATAATAAAATTATTATGATTATGATTACTCTGCAATTTGCTGAGTGAGAACCTCATGCACTGTTCATGTTGCTGAAATCAGTGATCAGGTGGGGGTAGGCAGGAACAGAGTAAAAGCAAGAGACTGACGAAGAAAGAAGGGAGCTGAGAGATGAATGTGCATTGGACTTCAACTACTGATTCAGGTCCCACAAAAGAGTTGGGAACAAAACTGGTTTATTAAACAGGGGAAGCAAGTGGTAACCAATAAAAGGAGATTTTCAGCAGTGATGTCCCATCTATGGAGGACCTTCCCCAGGGAAGCTTACCTATGGCATGCCTTGTTGTCTTTGGCAACCAAGAGACGTTTATTTATTTCCCCAGGCCTTTAAAGTATATAAAGTACATTTGAGAGGTGGGTCTCCTGCTGTTGCTGACATTGTTTTATGCCGTTTGATATGTTATTACTTCATGTTGTGTTTTATTTGTTTTAAACCATGCCATGCACTGCCCTGGAATCAATGATGGAGGGAGGCACAGAATTTTAAACTTAAGTAAACAGATGTGACCTGGCATTCCTCTGCCCACTCCACCCACAGTTGTTGGGTGTATATTTAAAATGTCCAAAGCAGCCAAGGAGGATGGAGCCATTGTTGTTCCCACATCACCAGCTCAATTCTCCTATCTTGTTTGCGCGGGGAGAAACTGAAATCCTGCTGCTGCTTTTTCCTGAAGGCAGGAGAGAAGGGAGATGCAGGCACTGGTAGCACAGTAAGAGAGCAGCTCCAGTGACAGCTTAACCTCTATTGCTGCTTTAGCAGGGATGGAGAACCTATTAATCCCTGGAATGTTGTTGTACAACTCCCATCATCCTAGAGTCCACAGGCCATGCTTGCTGGTGCTGATGGCGGTTGGGAGTCCTACATTTGGAAGGTCCCAGGTTCCCCATTCCTATTTTAAAGCCATAGACACGATCTTCAGGACCCCTAGCAATGCTTACCCAACATTCAGCAAAGGACCCAAGAGCTTCTGATTATCTTTCAAGTCTTTTAAATCTGTGATCTGTTTGCGAGGCCTCTAAAACTTCTTGCAGGCATTTTTGTCTAGAAATTTAGGGATTGTTGTCTCAGCAAGCCCTTGGAAACCAGCTGCTTAATAATATATTTTGCGAATGTGTTCCCTTGCCCCCTTTGTGGTATTTAATATTGAATTATTTGCCATGGTATTTTTAGGAAATAAGATGTCCGCGAAAGCTAATTAGGAACATGTTAGCATGTGTGTACGGTAATTAATTAGCCAACATACTTCACATTTTGAAGAGCGTTTATGCTATTTATTTTCTCTTAACAAGATGGCCATCAATATGGAGGGAGGATGGCCCATGATAATTTGCAAGGACTTGGTGGTGAATAAATGCACCCCTCCCATAAACACAAGAGCAAACTTCCCCACAGGAAAATAGGGGGATTGGAAGGGCCTAGTCAGCAGACCTGGGTCAGCCAAGGGCTCTACCATACCTCAGCCCAGATGTTCTAGTGGGGATGGATTATTCTTTGAAGATGCCAAATATGTGCCTGTTTTACTCAAGAGTAGACCTACTGAAATTAAGGGACCTAACTTAGTCATATTCATTAATTTCAGTTGGTCTGCTCTGAGTAAAACTTCACTGAATACCACCCACAGGGGCTGCCCATTTAGTCTTAACTCAAAGCTCTTCCCAGACCCATTATATGTTAGGTAAAGGTACACCTGACCATTAGGTCCAGTCGTGACCGACTCTGGAGTTGCGGCACTCATCTCGCTCTATGGGCTGAGGGAGCCGGCATTTGTCCGCAGACAGCTTCCAGGTCATGTGGCCAGCATGACTAAGCCGCTTCTGGCGAACCTGAGCAGCATACAGAAACGCCATTTACCTTCCCGCCGGAGTGGTACCTATTTATCTACTTGCACTTTGAGGTGCTTTGAACTGCTAGGTTGGCAGGAGCTGGGACTGAGCAACAGGAGCTCACAGCTCACCCTGTTGTGGGGATTCAAACCGCCAACCTTCTGATCAGCAAGTCCTAGGCTCTGTGGTTTAACCCACAGATGATTGCAATATAAAATGTGAGGAACCTACAAAGGCAGAAGAAGCTCTCCACTTCTGAAGCTTATCCCCCAAAATGCAAAGGGCTGGGAACAGCCCAGCAATGTCAGGGAGAGGGCTAAAATCATCGTCATCGTCCATAATCATTTTTAATTGTTAAACTGTCCTTCACCCCATAGGATCCCAGGGCGGTTTACATAAACGTCAGATAAAATACCACAGAGCAGAATTTGACCTCCTTATCCAAACATATTACAATAATAAGGAATGACAGCAGCAGACAAAATAATAACTGTTGGGCTCCACATGTTTATCTCCCAAAAGCCCAAAGGAAAAGATAGTTTTCAGTTGACGTCAAAAAGCTGACTAGGGGGAGAGCTGTACCTCCACAGGGAGTTCCACAAACAAGGATGTCCTGTCAGTGTTACCACCGAAGCATGAGCCTGGCTGCTCCCCACCCCTCCCAGCAGATCTCAAAGCATGGGGGTAAAGGTGCCATCATCCCACAGCGACTTTGTTACCTGTGTCACCAGTTCACGAGAGCACCATGTTGAGGGGGCTTATACAGAGAGCATTCTATCACGCAAAGCCTCCGTCGACAGTCTGAAGCACAACCCAGAGAGTTTTGAACATTTCCATAAAAAATGGAGCAGTCTGGCTACTAGACCTTTTTTCCCGGATGCAGTATAATCAAACCCAAAACGACCTTGTTCTCCAAACAGCGTTCATCATTAAATGCTAAGGAATTAAGAGATGTGCAAAGGCTCCAAAAGTCAGAACCACTCATTCCAGCGCAACGCCCCTGCAATTCTTCAGCTCTTTCCAGTCGTTTTTTGGGGGAGGGATATATCTAGTGAGTCCCATTTCAGATGCTCTGATCTGGGAATTACTCTCTGCCTGTCTCCGTCTTAAAGAATGCCTTCCCAAAAAGATCCTCCATTTATAAATTTAGGCTATTTGAAACAAAACATTTTGTGCTTAGATATGACAGCCCTAATACAAGATGTGCATGGGCTTATTAATTAATCACCGCTGGCATGGTTTTTTTAAACACACATGCACACATACGTCAGCTAATGCTTCATGCACTTAATATGTGGTGTGTGTGATTTGTACTGGGGTAAAATGACCCCAGGAAAGGTGCCTGCTTATCAGTGTGTGGTAGTTTCACCCCTAAAGCCAGTACACAACACTGAAGTATTCTCTGGCTCAAAGTGATTTTTTAAAATTTTATTTACAGTAACAAATAACAATGGAAAGACAAAATATAAACCCATCACTAAAAGGGATTTGAGGACTCCCATGGCAAGGATGTCTACATTTGGAGCGGCATCTGCTGTTCCCCTTTATGGTCCCCAAACAGGCTACCATTTTGGATGGCTCTCTTGGAAGGCTGTCATGTCAGTGTCCAGTATCAAATGGATTGCTGCCTTTGCGTTAGGCCTAGTGTTTGCCTGCTGTGGGGAAAAGGCACGGAAATGAGGCTCCAGTTATCCCCTTCCACACCTATGAAGTACATCCTCATCCTCATCCTCAGGAAAAAGCTCCTTTAAAAGTATTGCATTCAAACACCAGATATGTCATCGAGATCCTTGAATGTGTATGGAGATGACTGGATGGGACTGTCTAATCTCAGCACCGATATGTCCACTGCAAAAGGTTGACTAAAGGATTTGGGTAGGGGAGTTAGGGGTGAGATACGAGTCCTCTTAAAAGTTAACAGAACAGGTCAGCTCCTGGCTGCTGACAATTGTGGAGGGGCTGCTTACAAGTCACTTTCTCATGAGATTAGGGACTGCTCTGAGGCTTTGGCTTCCTTTCTTTCTGCCACTGGAAGAATTCTGCTACAGGGCCAGGGATCAGCCCAGAGCAGCTGCATGAAAACATTCCATCTTGGCACACTAGGCTAGCTGCCATCCTCTTGGGCGCCGGAGATGTTCAGTGGCCAGCCAGGAGAGAGCAAGGCTGCCAGCTAGTTGACATCAGTACACTTAAGGCACTTTTGCCAAATGAAAAGCACCAGAACTAAGGGGAGAAATACCCAGGAGTCGAACAGCAGCAGGACCTGACAGCCAGTAGGTGGCACAGCTTACTGGCACGCTAGACCCAGGCAGCACATCATGCCCATCTCTGGGCTCTGTGTGACTGCTCCAGATCCCGGCCAAGCAACTTAGCTGGATGTGCAGCTAATCTTTGTCTGCTCTTGGCTCAGGCAGCAGGAACACTCCTCTCCCCCAGCTGCCATTGGGAGGAATCTGGTGGGAGGGGAGAGATAAAGCAAGCACACCCACCACTTGTCCTACAAGAATCCTGCACATCTTGTTCCCAAGCAGTTCTGCAGCCCAGAATTTTGGTCCCCTCCGCAGGGCTCATCTGCTGTTTCAAACATAGCTTCTTTGGATTCAGATTATTGGATGGCGGGGGAGAACAGTGGAGAGACCTTGTTGCGAAGGTTTCCCGCACATTCAGTTTATATTCAGGGCATGAGATCTGGCTGCATGTCTCAGGAGGAGAAGCAGAGGCCACAGCACTCCATGCAGATCTCAAGGCAGTCAGCCGACTCACAGCATGCATCGATAATGCCGCAGTCCATGTCACATGGCAGGTCGCAATCGGCGCATTCCCCAGAGCCGCAGCAGCAGCAGCAGATGCAAGAATCCTCGGAGCTGCAGGAGCCACAAGTGGCACAGTCCAGCATGATGTTGCAGAGGGTCAGGAACTCGCAGAAGAGGCAGGAGAGGATGCAGTGGACACAGCAATCTGGAAGCAGAAAGAAAAGAGAATATCAAAAAGCAAGCAAAAGAGAGCCAAGTGTGGGAAGCTGAAACCAGGCATGGAGAGAAGTGATTGCACCAGAGTCAGAAGACAGGAAGAAACAGAAGATACCATTGTGCATAGCATTCTGCAAAGGCATTGCTCCAAAAATCTGCCAATGCTAAGAAAAGCACAAATGTTGCATTTCAGTATATCAAGGCATCTGGGGCCGGTCTAGTGAAAGAAGATGCTGCAGACACTTGGATGAGAGTCAGTGATTATCTGGGATGCTATGGCTAGGGAGAAATCACCTAGGATGACTTCAGCAGTCATGAGATTGTGAGCCTGGCCAGCTAGGGAAAGTTAACATCAACACTGTGTATAGTGACATGAATTAAGGCCCGAACCTTCCTTTTGAACATATGTAACTAGAAATCCTCTCTCTTCCAGAGAAGATCCCGTCATAATCCAGGTGCCCCACAACTGGTTGAAAGGGAGAACATACAGTGAGAGTTCATCTACTGGCTCGCTGGCATCAACAGTCCCTTGAGGTCTCTTGCCGAGAAACAGTGGCCGGCCTCTTGCAGCTGCAAAAATAATGACGTGCAACTGCAAGGGCTGATTTGGAGCATTCCCCCACCCCTTTCAGTCTCTCTTTTTTCTCCCACCCACCCACCCAGCCAGGATGCCAGCCCCTAGTTTTGGAGCCTGATCTGGCCCTTGAAGTGGCCATGTTTACTTTGGGCCACACCCACTACTGGCATACAGCCTCCAGATGTTTGGCCAATAGTGAGTGCGCAAGGCAGAAATGGTTATAGCAATTAGCGCCAACAACTGCAGGGCAAAATTCAGCACGCCACACAACGCCACAGTTCTCAAGCAAGGGCCACTCAGCAGCTTCATAGTAAAGGGAACCAGGGGACAACTCCCCATGAAACATTTCCCACTCCTGCATTGTGCTTTAGTGCGTGGTGGAAAGTATAGGAGACTGTACTGCCACTAGCCCCCCAAAGGATGATATGTCCACCTCCCTTGTGAAGGCTGCATTTCTCTGCAATTGCCATATGACTAGATGAAGAATCTGGATGAATCATACACAAGTCCTAAAAGGAAGAACCAACAGCTGCTATGGTAGCTAAAGTAACTAAATCCTGAAAGAGGGAAGGCATACAGGTTCAAAAGCTAATGCAAATGAACATGTGCATGTAATCAAATTGTTTCAGACACTGAACAAGAGTTGTGAGAATAGCAACTCTTAAATCCATCTCCATAATTTTGCTTTCTTCTCTCTCTGGCCCATTTCTTCAGGCCTATTGAACTGCCCCTGATCTTGTACTGGCTTCCACTTGCTGCCTGCATCCTTCCACTGAATCTGCCCTCTGTTGCATGGAAGCTGACCATTCTCCAGTCCTACCACTGAGACTCTGTGGACCCTGGCTGGCTTGCTGGCTGGCTGGGGTCCAGTCATGTCTGTCTAATGAATCATTGGCTTTGTAATTGCATGAACTGGAACTTGGGTTAGAATATCTCCTATGGATAAGGCATGCATCTTAATGCAGGCATTGACCCACTCCATGTGTCTGGAAACAAAACAGGTAGCGTATATACTAAAAAGTAGTAATCAGGAGCATCAGTGTTTCCACCTTCACATTCTCTACCATCCAGTCCCTGGTGTGGTGGTGCTTTCTACTCTCCTCCTGATGAACGAAGCACCAAATAAACTCTATCAGTAGCTGAAGAATATTAAGGTATGGGGAGAGGTACCTTCCTGTGCCTCAGTAGGTATCTGAGATGATGCAGATTTGGAGCTGCCTTTGCTCTTTTTACTGATCTGGCTGTTGATGGAGTGATGAGACTGTAGCTTCCGATGAGGCTTCTGGGAGCCCGACAGTGAGCTGCGTTCAGAGCACAAGGCACCATTCCCAGCTTCGCCGTTAGAAGCACTGAGGTCTGACACATGCCCAGGACCATTCTGCAGCAGGGGAATCAAAGTTGAGGTTGGAGGGGTCCGGACAGTTACTCGGCTTTGGGGCTGACCTGTTAGGGAGGAAGAGAAAGATTATGGAACATAATGCCTATGCAGCTCTGACAGAAATATATCTAGGATTCCACACTGCCCTCAGAAGCATTGAGAAATTGTGGACTCTGTTATGTTGGGGGGGGGGAGAAATACTTTGCAACAGTTTGTCCCTTCACATTTTGCTCAACCCACCTTTCTTTTCATAAGTTGCAAAACGATAACCTAAAGTATTTCAGAACGTTTACAATATCCCTCCTCCAAGCAAACAACATCACCTCCACAGCTCCCTGAACAAAATCCAAATTGAGTTTTGTGATTTCAGGCTGTAAGCTATTTCTTTTTCAGCTGAATAACCATTATGAAAGCTACACAATTAAAAGCTTTGTACCTACAGTTTGCAGAAAGTATTGTATTTGTCCAGAAGACTAGCTAGGCAAGGGGGGAGGCGGGCTGGTCCTAGAATAGACTTTGGTCCAAATTCAGTAACGGTCATACACAGCAGTGAGCTATCCTCCTGAAATAATCTACAGGGCCAGTGCTGTGCAGTTTTGGTACAAGTTTGAAAGAGAATGAGATTGCCGGAATCAGTTCTGCACCTGGATACAGATCCTTTTGTGATGTTTGCTCACAGGTCCTCTACACTGTTGATTAGAAGTTTCCTTTTTATATGTTTTGCCCATTTTATTGCTTTGAATTCTCTCTTAGTTGGCTCTTAGAGGCTATAAGTACTGGATGTAGGAAAAAATCAAACAGACAAATATACTAAAGGCTAAACTGAGAGCAGGGTAAGTTAAACAGTTTTAAATGTATGCAGTAAATTTGTCCGAAGGAATGTGTGACAATGATGTGGCAAGAAAGATGAATAACTAATAAAGTAATGGAGGATGGCAACTGGTCATTTTAGGAGAGTTCAATAAATAATAAACAATATATTGAAGACATTTCTGTATGGGAGATAGTTTAGCAATCCATGCACAGATTATCAGGTCTGATGATCATGCAAGCATCTTTCACCGCATGTAGAATCACTAAATGTGATGATGTAAGCATGGATGGGGACCTGTAGCTCAGCACCAGCCAGCCCAGCAAATAGTCAGGAGTTGATGTGGGTTGAAGTCCATCATCTGGAGAGCCACAGGTTCCCCACCCCTGATGTACATGCAGGTTGCATACTATTTCCTACAGTGTAAAAACACACACTCCCTGGTCTGGTTTTTGAGATCCAAAGTATGCTGATCTCTGGAAGAAGGTACCTTCTGCAAGATATCTGCTTCTGCTGCGGAGCTTCTCTCATTCATGGGATAAAAAAATGTTACGGAATGAATTCTTTCTTGTTGGGGTTTTGTTTTTGTTTTTTGCCAGTCACCTTGGTTATTCTTTTGGTATTTTAATAATACCAAAACCCCAAGTGGCTTCCATTCTAAAATGTCTGAGGCCTTTTGGGAATGCTGTTGACTTTGAACCTTTTGTTTTCTGTACTGACCATTCCCTGTGGTTAAAAGATGTCTTTGTGCGCCTTGGCATTGCTTTTTCATAAGTGTGTGTAGAAATGTGGGGGGAGGGAGATTATAGGAGCTCTTACCTGTGTATTACACAAATCCATACAAAATGTGAAATAAAGTAAACCCAACATTTTCCTCAGGGAATAGTAGTTTTAAATGATTATTTCTCCCCCTCCCACACCTTTTTTACTTCAATGAGTTCTGAAAAACAAACAAAAATTATACTAGCTATCAAGTGGAAATGTGGTTAACATCACATACTGTACATTCTTGAACATTCACATATCCACAGTAACCAAGAGGCAAAGTAAGCTGCGACTTCCGAAATACAGGCTATTATTGTACTGAATGGTAACACATGTGAAAATTGAATGTATGCAATGGCAAGTCAAGAGTTAGCTGTGTGTCTCTTCCCTAGAAAATAAATGTTTGGTCCCAATGGCTCATTCAAGTCTCCAAATGACAATGGGGATTTAAAGGGGGACGGACGGTCCCCCTGGCTATTTATGTGGAATTGTACTTATTTTATTTAATTATTAAATTTGTTTACCACCCTTCATGTGAAGATCACAGGGCGGTTCACAAAAATACATAAAAATGCAAAACAAGAATACAAAATATGTAATAACACACAAAAACAAACCAGAAACACCATCTCCAACAAACACATGGACAGGATCACAGTCGAAAACAAAAGGAAAACCATGCTGGCCATTTGCTTGGACAACAGAGATATTCTAGACTCCTAAAATCAATTTTTGCTCTTCCTTGGTGGTGGGGAAGAGAGCAGAACTTCTTTGGGGTCTTCAGCCTACGTTTGGAGCCTTGGGACATGGACCTTTCCCTTTTATGAAGCTGCAGTCTCCTCTCTGGGCAGAGCCAGCCAAACCTCTGCTATGAATGGCATGCATCTGCTGGCCTGGGATCCCCCACCCCCCTCCGAGCCTCAACCACAAACTCTTCAAGAATGAAGAGCAATTGTGATTACAGACCATTGTCCGGTTGTGTCAAAGTAGCTCCGTTGACTTTAGGAGAGGTTACACAGTATGCATGGCGGCAGCAGTAAGACAGGGGGAGGCCTGTGTACAATAAAGACCTCCCACTGCTCTGCCATGTATGCAGCACTGGAAGGTTTCAAGGCATGTACACCAGCCCATGAGGAAGCAGTTCTTGCTCAGATCTAAGTGGAGGCGCTCTACTAATTTTTGGAGGCATCACTTAACAATGTTGTGGCATTCTTACTTGAAATGTAAATGTACAGAAAATCAGTATAAAGAGAAATTGGGAAGTGACGCAAAGATGTGAGTAACTTGCCCAAAGCCAATAGGAAAAAATAAAATTATGAAATTCCCAAAATCCACTTCCCCAAACTCTCTCCAATTGTAGACATTTTTTTAAAAAAGGAGCGAAGGAAGTCAGGTCTCCCCCTTAATTCTAGCACTACCGAAGCGACAGTCATGAATGTAAAGTGTGTCAACTACTCCTAAATGCAAGAGATTACAAACTGCAGTTTGGCAGTGGCCAAGTCATGGAAACAATCATTTGAATGGCCTTAGCCAAGAAATATATGTGGGGATATGCAAGCACCATTGGAACCTGAAACCTCTTGCATACGCTTCTGATTTTCAGTTTATAAACCAACTATCCAGATCAGGATAGGGTTAAGGAAAATGACGTGATTGGCCCCCAAACAAATAACTCGCCACACATTCACCTCATCCCTCTCCCTCCAAGCTAGGGCTTGTTTTTTCCCTCTGCTAGACTTTACATTTCTCTCCCCTCTCTGATCTGTAAACACGCGGTGATTCAGCAGAAAGGCTTGAGAGCAGAAATTATCTTGAGCCAATCCAGGGAACAGACGCTGCATTCTCTTTGGGGTGTCAGCTGGACAGGACTCCTGAATTTCTGGGATGAAAAGGGCCAGGACTGAGTCATACTGAAAGCATCATGCACAACCTTCCAGCACAAGATGTTTCTTGTCTCATGATAGTGGGGGAGCAAAGCAATGCACAGTAGGTGGCAAAAAGGCAATCTTGGTTTCTCTAGCATGGGTAACCTACCACAGGGTGTTAAGTTGACAGAGGATTCTATTTTGACACACATGGACTCAAGAAGAAAAGAGGAGGAATTGTAGGCACCAAGAAACACAGCTGCCATTTCCTGGATCTGAGCTTGGCTCTGCCAATAGAGACATCTGCCAGATACAGTAGGATGCCAATATTAGTTTGATGGTGGTAAGAGGGCATCTCTGGATCAGGAGCCAACATTTTAGAATGGCAAAGCACCAGAATGGCCACCTAGTTATCTTCAATTATTATTTGTTCCTCTGCTCAGGAAGCTTGTGAAGTCACTCACATTAAGAGACGAATGGCAGGCATTATATAGGAAAGCTGACTCATTAAAGGCTTATAGGGAAATATTACAAATATTACAGAAATATTTGTAATATAAAAATGTAGGGAAATATTACAAATATTACAGAAAAGCAAAGCGTTTCTTCTTCCCACACCTGTACATGAGGCTAAGCAAGAGAGGATTCATCAGTGAGCCAGAGCTATTGGTAGTTAATAAAGGCCTCATAAAATGAGCATGGATATAGTAGTGATCTTATCTTGTGGTTTTGCATAGAAATGGAATGGTAGGGCCAGGCTCGTAGGAAGGGTTATTCTTCTGCTGGAGAGTCCATGCTCAGGAGAGGGAAACTGCTGGCCAATGAGTGCATTTATGATAATGAATAATCACTCTCTATTTTTTATTTACTTATGAAACATCTATACCACTTTTCAATCAATATTCCCAAAGGACATTGGATGGACAGGTGGCAGACACTGTCACTGTTTATAGTTGCCAATATCATTTTCAGTTCCAATCATAGTCACTGACAACCGTACCTGGAGGGAGGGAGGGAGGATCATTATAGGATTAGAGATGGCAAAGAGACAAGAGCCCTTAATCAGGTGTGCTGAAGAGGGCAGGTTGGGAGGGAAGAGCACCCACACACACACTATCTCTGCCCCCATCCCCATCACGTCGTGCATGTTCCAGGGTTACAGCCTGCAAAGGGAAAGCTTCCTATACTTGTGGAAGCTCCCACATGAATCAGAACCTTGAAAAATCATGAATAGAGAAGACTCCCCAGAGCAGAAATTCAGCCCAAAGGAATGGAGAGCTGAAGGGACAGGTCATCACAACCATAATAGCAGGGACAGGGTCACTGAGCAAGGCCTGCTCTCCCCACCTGCTCTTGCGGTGTGCAAGAAAATGGCTGGATAGGGCTTAAGAAGAGGACTTGAACCTTGCTGTCCTCTGCCCAACCCAATGTCCCACTCCCGACACCACACTTGTCTCATTCATATTGTGACATAGTGAGGCACTATCCTACCAGCAGAAGTTCCCTTTGCATACACATAGCCCTTTCCAACACAAAGCCTTTTCGAATTCAACCGTCTGTTAAATAAAGGTTTTGACCTATCCATGACCTGCGTGTGCAAGGATCAGCATTTTGAAAACACTTTGTGCTGAGGTTTTCATTCTGACAGAATGCCAGTTGTAAGGTTTCTCCCCTACCTTTTGACCTCAGAAGCCGCACATTAGCATGCTAATGGCAGCAGGACAATCAGTGACTGCACAAGTCTCTTGCTTAATGCTAATGGTTGCAGTATCCAAGCACACCTATAGCTCCTTATCTGCAACATGATGGGAGCAAAAGCTTTATCGTTAGTTAAAACTTTTCTAAGAGGGAGAGGCTCCTTGCTATATGCACATCTGCCTCGTTTTCAGTTTCAGCTTAAGGCTAAGAATGAATTTCACCAGCTGAGTTCAAATAGAGCCCATGAGAATATGGGTTCACACACTGACATGACCTTAACTGCAGTGGCATGAGTGAACCATTATAATCATCATTATTTCGGGGATGAAATTATAGAGTGGTGAATCCCCTAATCAGATAATTACAGGTGGGAATTCCACTGATGATAAGAATTTCATTCCCAGCCATTTATTATAGTTTTTTCCTGGCTTTTCAACACAGTCTCCTTTCTCAAACCAGGCCAACACCCAATTCACCATTAGCAACCTGGACCGTTTCAAAAGCTTTCTCTGTTCCAGGGGTGAATAAAGGGCAAGTAGCCTGAAGACCCATTTGATACAATCCACAGGGAGCTTCCCTTATGCAAGCTCACCAAAGTGAACAGGAGCTGCACACATATTCTATTCATAATCCTTTGGTCCTGTTTTCTGAAGGAAAAAAATATGGGGGGGGGGGAGGGATTAAGCCAAGCTTATTTATTTATTTAAAGCCAGGGTGACCGACATTTGATCTGACCCCCCTCCAAGCAGATTTTTCTGCTCTGCCAAAAAAGCAACAACACACCCAACCCCATTGATTTTGGCAGTAATGATGATTCAATTTCTATATTTAAAATATCTCTAAGCAGTGTACAGAAAACTGAAGCAACAAGAGACAAGTTAAACAGAAATATTATAGCACGCAATTACATATAAAAATGTTACATTGATGCAAGGTTACTAATATATATAAATCGGTATCAATTCATTTCCCCCCCACAGCCTCTGGGTTCTCACCCAGGGTCTGAACAAACCCTCAGCTGACCCACAGAAGTCTCACAATGAGAAGAGATCCTGGAAACAGCAGACATGACCTTAGTCTCGCACTCCAGATTTGCTCTTTATGGTCAGGTTCAAGGTGGATGTTACTTCCTCACGCTACCCATAGCTGGGTCCCATTCAGCTGCACTTTTCACGCCCAGTTCCAGGTGCAGCAGGTTTGTTGAGTTTCCCTTGGGGTCCAAAGGATGGGGAAATGGCCCCCTCCACTCACAGCTCTTTCTTCACTCTCTGTGCTTTTCTCTTCCTCCAGCTGCGGTGGCAGCAAAACAATAATCAAGTAGACACAGCACTGAGGTGGGCTGAGAGGTTCGAGCTAGGACTGCAAAATTGCCCCTCTTATCATTTCAGGAGCAGGGAAGAGGAAATAATTTGCACAGAGGAAGGGGCCTGTGTCTGAAAAGGTACTGACTGGCCACATCTACTTTTGGCCACATCCACGACCAGCACACAGCCCCAAGTATAGTGAAAATGGAGCCTTGCATCACCAGAAACATGTTTGTTCTTTCAATTTGGAGTAGACTTGGTTTTGTTTTTCAGGAGAAGGACCATCGCTTTTGAGATGTAGTTCAACAATAGAACAGACGGCCCCAGGTCAAATCTACAATGGTTTCTTCATGTAGAGCTGGGAGAAACTCCTGACTGAAAGCCACTGCCAGTCAATGTACTGTATACGGTACTGAACTAGGCAGACCAAATGTCTGACACACTGCAAAGCAGCTTCCTAGGTTCCTAAGGGAATGTTTGTACAGTAATGAAACAAACTCAACATCTTGGCTTCTCCCTACCCAATACCATCTAAAGAGTGATGATCCTACCTGCTATGTAAGCACAGCAAAAAGTTCCGACTCAAGTTCCAGAACTAACAGAAGTGTCGTAATCTGGTGGATGCATTAACGCCATGAGTATTCCTTTGATCTGGTCACTCTAGTCATACAGTGGTACCTCGGGTTACATACGCTTCAGGTTACAGACTCCGGCAACCCAGAAAGAGTACCTCGGCTTAAAAACTTTGCTTCAGGATGAGAACAGAAATCGTGCTCTGGCGGTGCAGCAGCAGCAGCAGCAGGAGGCCCCATTAGCTAAAGTGGTGCTTCAGGTTAAGAACAGTTTTAGGTTAAGAATTAAGTACTTAACCCAAGGTACCACTGTACTGTTGTAAGGTAGCTAGGACTTGTTCTAGATCAGGGATGGGGAAGTGGATCTTTATCTCCCCCCCCCCCCACTCCAGGGACCAAGCCTGACAAACAGTTGATGTCGCAGTGACATCCAGTGATGCATATTTTTGTATAGCGCTGCGCATGGAAGCCCTGATGATCAGCTGATCACTGGAGCTTCAGAAGCACTGTACTTTTCAGGCATCAATGACCAGCTGATCAGCTGGGCTTGCAAAGTACTGTACCCCCAGGCTTTGCAGATCAGCTGTTCCATGGTACCTGCAAACTCCCTTCAGCCCAGCCTCACCTTTACCTGCCCCAAACTTGATGACATTCGTGATAGCTTGGCCAAAATGACATTACAGAGCAAACAGGGAGGCCTGGCAGGTCTAATTAGGTCTGCAAGTCAGAAGTTCCCCATTATCGCTCTAGACAAACCTGTTTTGTCTAGATGGTTTTATTCTCAATAACCCCCACTCTGCTAGCTCGGAAGAATGCAAAATAGGATCCTAAATGGTGTTAAGTTGGAGTGGCTTAAATGAAAGCACAAGACCAACACTGGCATTGCCAGTTAAAGATGAGAGGTCTACTTTGGATGACCTAGTCATGACGATACTGTGACAAATGATTCACAAACAATTCCACTTGAATATGGAGATGCACATTAGGTCAGATCATGGCGGAGCAAAAACTTTGCTCTCAGTAATGTTCTTTGCGGTGGAGGGAAAAAGCACAATTTATAGCATGCTTGCAAAATCAAAAGCTTCTCCTAAGGAGAAAGATCTCTCCTTCAAGGAATTTTCGTTCGAGGAAGACACCTCAGGGAGTGGTTTGAGGGCCAGTGGTGATGTGTGTGTGTAAAAACCTACAGCAGAGGCGCAACATCTGGGAGCGTAGCTGCTGAAAGCTCCCTCTTTGCAGAGGGTGCAGCATGACTGCAGAGTGACTCATGAATGCAGAATGTCAACAGGCAAGCAGCCCAGCACCAGATGCTCTCAGGCAAGCATGTGGCTTCAGAATTGCACAGTTTCATTACGACAGTGTTTCTAGTACCCTTTCACCAGTAACCTTTTGTTCTATATATATGCCTGCGCAACAAATGATTTGCAGAAGTCACCCAAAGTATTTTCCTAAATGAGGAAAAGCCTTTGAGGGATGAAAGGGCATGTTAGTGCCCAGAAGGGATCAGTCTTTTTAGGGTATGGCAACCTCCCCTTCCTTGTTTTCCTGTTGTCTACTTATGGAAGGTCCCACTGGGAGCAGAAAAGCGAGGCGATGGGTGCTAGCCTCTGCCACTATGGTCGTAATAGCACCCTCTCAAAGCTTCCAGGGGGGAAATGGGTTATCAGGCTACCATGACGTGTGTTAACCTGTAATGTGCAGTCTGGCCCTCAAAGTAGCTTCTGGTGCTACTTTATCTCGACACAGATCTGTGTCCCAAGACCCATGGCATCACCACTTTGAAATGATGCTTCTAGATGATCTGTTTCTTGGGCATTTAGTCTGAATGCCTACCTCTACCTGATTTAGCTGGAGGGCTTCCCTACCTAAAAACAGCATCAATAGATGGCAGTAATAGAGATAGGTTAGGCCAAAATAGCTTTGTGCACCTGTATATCAAGTAACTGTCACACAAGTCAGTGTGTGCTTGCACTGACTGCTGAAGGGAGCTGTGCATTGTAGGGAAGCATCTGCACTTCCTGGCTCAACAGCCTCCATGCAAAGAAGTTACTCTCTTGATGGCAACAACCTCACATGTAATCACCTACAGGGTGGAATTCACTTCCCTGAGAATGGTATAAATCAAAGTTTAATCTCTCAACAGAAGGAGATTGTGCCTGTCCACCCCAAATTTCTGTGGATTACCCTGTACTGGCTGTTCTTCAGATTTCTAAACAACAGCTGTTGTATCCTGGTCACACTTCAATTTTTTTCTATCCAGCCACGAGTGAGTGCAAGAAAGGGGGTGGGGGAATCAGAAAGTGGGCAATAATTACTTTTTGTATTTCCAGTTAAGGAATCATGTATCTATTGGAATTAGAAACAGACATTTAAGAACATTGCATGAAGATCCAGAAATAAGTTACTACCACTAGAGGAACAAAGGATTTATTATTGAAAATATTACCATCTTATAATCAGGAAAGATTTGGAAGCAGGAGAGTTTTATGGGCTACATAAGTGCCTCAGTCATTGACTGATATTCGAAAGACATTTTCTTAGCAGGGAGCAAAGTCAAAGTTGTTTAACAGTGGAACGGTCTCCATTGGGAGGCTGTGGACTCTCCTTCCTTGTTGGTTTTAAAGCAGAGGTTGGATGGCCAACTCTCATGGATGCTTTAGCCGAGATTCTTGCATTGCAGGGGGTTGGACTAGATGACCCTCAGGGTCCCTTCCAACTCAGTGATTCTATGATTCTACAAATACAAAACTGGTGTATGCATCTCTAGACAACTTGAAGATCTCTGAAAATGGGAGGAACTATAATGTTACCTTTGCTTATTTCTTGCACATTTGCGGACTCACGCCCAGCTGTGCAACAGTTCTGGATGGAAATGGTGAAGGAAATCAACAGGATGATAAACTATAAACATACCTTTAACCTTTTTAAAAAGTTCACTTCAAAATGAATTTGAATTAACAGTACAGTATCTTTACTAACAACATAAAAAAAGATTATTCCTAGATACTGCTAAAAACAGAAAAGGCCCATCATTTAAAGAGTAATTGACAAGGGTTTTGCAAACAGCTCCGTTGTATATAGGGAGTAAAAAATGTCAACCGAATAGGTAGTAGACAGAGAACCAATATGTAAAGAGTTGGTGACCTTTTATTTACTGAAAGCAAAGCAATCTTGTTTATAATAGCATATGTAATTTATTTTTGACAGTTTCGTTACTTGCATCAGATTCTTCTTTATTTAAGATAATCTGATTTTGTCTTTCTAAAAAAGAGTGCTACCCCAAATTCATTGCCTTATCAAAAGTAAGTGAACTTTGGGGGAGGGATTTTGGTAACTTTTAAAGGTGGAATTGACAAATGTTTCATGAAACAGGAGACCTTACTTTCAGTTAGGGACAGGGGTAATAGACATACGTGTTATAGCTTCTCTCGCTACTGCAGAGTCATCCTCAGATTTCCTCTTGGAAGGCGCTGTTCCATTCACCAAGGACCTGCAAGATGCTGAGTATTCTTGTGTTGGGTTTTCTTCCTTCACATCTGTGGTCTGATTATGAGAATGAGGAGCTGAGGTTGGCAAGTTTGGAGTAGTTGGTGCTACCGCTGAATTCGGCATGGAGGAAGGGCACGTGTTTGTATCTTGGCCTGAAAGACAGGAGGCAGTTCCAGCATAAGTGTTGCTTTATGCTGATGACAGCAGGCTCACCTGATGCCTGAAGTCCTGAAATGGAGGTATCCTCACAACAGCTCTCACCTGATTAGAGAGGATGGATAGCTCAATAAAGTTCGCTCTCTCTCTCTCTCTCTCTCTCACACACACACACACACACTCCACGTATCCGTTCAGACCTACAAATCTCAGTTTACTAAGCAGAGATACCTACAAGGTAGTGTTGTGCTGAAACCTGTCCTCCAAAGTTTTCTTACCCTGCAAGAGGGTTATTTTTCTGACTAATTTGCAGGATGCTTTAGCATTGCAGCAGGCACAGGACTGAGCCTATTTTATTGTTGCAACATGGCCACAGAACAAAACACTAGAGGAATTTTTCAGTGCAGCACTAATATGCGCCCCGTGGCACACCTTTATTGCAATACAACCAATGTTACTTATGTTTATTAACCATGGTTTCCTCTCACCCCCAAGGTCTGAAGAGAGGTACAATGGTGTGCCATGTCATTTCTTTTCAGACAGACCTGTAACTATCATACTTCTTTTCTAGTGGACATAACTGAGCCTGGAATCAAAAAGGAATGGGGTGGTGGACACTCCTCTTTGAAACCATCCCCATTCCTTCAAAACCATTCCACTTCCTTGTCCCCCGCCTGTCCCACTCTGATTACTTATTATATCCAAAGTGGGAAACTGATTACCAGGTTAGGAACAAACGAGGATCTTCAAACTCTGGTTCAAGATCCTGACTGTTCCAGTCCTATTAACCAAGATTTCCCCATTCGGACACAAGAAGAGCCGGCTGGGGTGAGGTCAACAGCCCTTCTAGCCTAGCATCCTGTTTTTGCACTAGAGAAGCAGATGGCTTTGGGAAGCCCACAAACAGGACGTGAGCACAAGGGCCTTTGCCCACCTGTGATTCCAAGAACCTAGTATCTTCAGGTCTAATGGAAAACTAGAGTTAATTAACCCCAGAAGTGCTGGATTGCAGCATGCAGAAAAGAAGAAAGGAGTGGTATGAGGTTGGAGCGTGCAGGTGCAAGGCTCGTGCATATATCGACTTAATAAGCCAATATATCTACGTTTAAGCCAGGCCACAGAGCTGTGATGCATTAAAAGTATAAGTAAAATGTATTCCATTACCATATTTTTAGTACCCTGGTGGGAAGGACAAAAGGGCTACTCAAATGCGTATTAAGCACTGTGCAACGAAGAGAATAGTTAAACTGTACAAATGCATTTGTAACAGGGACTGTGAAAGAAGAAATAAGGGGTGATACTTTTCCTGCATTGTTAAGTCAGGAAAGGGGAACTTGTGGCCCTCCAGATGTTGTCATACTCCACCCCCACCAGCATGGCCAACAGTCAGGGATAATGGGACTTGTGGTTCAGCAACATCTGAAAGGCCACAGGTTCCCCAGCTGTGAATTATGAAATGCGGGGAGTCTGACCTTATGCGAGCTTCCTAGGCCATATATGGTCTGTTGACCAATTGCCCTCTTAAGCTAATTTGCAATAAACCCTTCTGTCGCCCTGAGTTTGGCCTCAAACTGAAGAAAGAGCTCCGATGTCAGAATCTCCTTGCCATTAATGCCAAAGCATGGTCACTTACACTAAACCAGTTGTGCTCAATACTGATCTCTCATTTATTCCATCAGGAAAGAGCCAGAAATGTTCTGTGAATGAGAGACACTGGGGTGTTTACACCAGGATGCCATTGGTGTTCAGAATTAAATTTATCTCATGCGCAAACCCCAATTATTGATGCCACTTTCCTTTTGGCACACAGTGCCTTTTGGCGCAACAGATGTAGCTATGGGCCCTGTGTGTTGGGGAAAGCTGCTCCTGCTGGATTTCTTGCCCAACACACACCTGTTGAAGCCACAGGAACCTTGCCAGAAAGAAGGTGGAAGCCCTATTTCTGAGATCTTGACTAGTGGACAGATGGAAGGCCAAAAGGCAATACTTAAAAAGCAAGCAACATCTAGGAGTTGTTGATTTTGGCCAGGCCCATGAAATTTGCTTATTGCGCACTCAGGGGAAGCACATTCTGCTTCACTACTTGAGGCAAAGCGGGAACGTGCTGCTGTCCCTGCTGCCACCTTGCCCCCTCGCTGCCTCCTCACAGCCAGCACCATGCCTCTCTTACCTGTGTAGTGCAACAGTGTCCACAAAGTGCCAACAGTGGCACTGACTTCTGGTAAGATCTTGCAGTATCTTGCTGAAGTCTTGTGAGATCTCTTGTGCTCTGTGTATGCTGCAGATCACCTCTAATGGTATTTATCTTGTTTGTATGCATGTGAACATGGGTTTTCCCCATAGATACTAACTGCAGCTTCAGCATTCCGATACACAGGGGCTTGTTTTTTGCCAAACTTAACCTGCTGCACGGGGCATAGAGTATGCTCAGGCCCCCAGCTCGCCACACATCACCTCTTGGGAGGGGGAGTAGGCCCACTAGGACCTTCCTCTTTCCCCTCCCTGCTGTTTTGCTGCTCTGCCTACCCCCTATCCTCCTTCCATAAGAGAAAGTATGGGGCTGGGGCAACAGAAGTATATAGGTGAATAAATCACAGCTCAAAGAATAAGTAAATAGGCAGCAGATTGTGGGTGAGGTGGAGGGTCCAATTAGGACTTTGTCAATTTTGGTCCCTCTCCATTTCTTGTTTTTCAGGTCTTAAGCTCCATTTTCCACATCAGTTTCTGAGTTTCCTCTATCTTTCTTTCTATCTATCTATTCCTCATGAAAATTCATCAGCAATTTAGTGCATATTTCTCTGAATATGCATTTCTGTACGTAATTTTGCACAATATACACTTTTTTTGCAAAGCAATTTCCACAATATACACTTTTTTTGCAAAGCATATGTGTTATTTTCACTAATAGATATGCATCTTTATGCACACTTTAGTAGATGCATTTTTGTATGCTTTATGCATTTATGCACACTTTAGTAGATCCATTTTTGTATGCTGAGAGATTGCTTAGCAAAATTCTGCGAAGTGCGAGCTTTGAAGGATGGCTATGTTTCAGTATTGCTGAATTAGCTAGGTTCGCCTTTAATTGAGAACTGAACCAAATTTCTCCCCCACCCCTAGATCCAATCCACACACAGTGCGATGAGCCCAATAAAACCATGTTGGCGCTCCTGTGTGTGGCCAGTTGTATAGTACAGTAGCAAAAGTGTGCAAAAGAAAACCTGCCTTATCTCAGCAAACCAGTTGCTACAATGGAGGAATTTTATCGGGTGAAACGGGGCCTGTTCTAAGGCAATGGAATAATCACACACAAATGACCAGAGCATAGACTCACTGAAATCACACCGGGACTCAGGGTGGTGGGGATTGGACCTGCAAATCCTTCCCCTCCTCTTTTTAGCATCCCTCCCCCCTTCCCGGTTCAACCACAGACCTGTTCACTCCCCCCGCCCTCAGAGCCCCTTCCTGCTCCCTCCTGGCACTCAGAATAGCAACAATTTACACACAAGACAAGCAGCTGGAGTGCAACAGCTTCGGAGGGGTGGAACCACACTTTATATAAAGTAAATTACACCTTAGGCGCAGCGAGCGAGGCCAAACACCCATAATTACACTGACGGTAACAACAAGACCTACTCTCAGCCAGGCAGGGGGCTGAGGGCAGGAAGCAAGAGGCCCTTGGACCCGTTATTATACTCAATATAACAAGAGGTCCTACATGCAGGCAGACAGGGAGGAAAGGAGGCAGACTGCACATGCACATAATTATAGTGACTGCATCACGGAGCCCTGCGTGAAAGAGAAAGGGCTGGATCCTCAGGCCATTACAGTTAACAGGCTACTTTCTATAGGCATCGGAAGGCTTCACATCAACCAAAAGGCTTGCCAGAGTTGGGGTTAGTTGTGCTAAACACACAAGCTTGGATCCTAAGTTTAAGGAAGTGTGTAGCTTAGCCGCAGAAGACTATGGCACTCAAAACATGGTCTCCACAGAACACGTGCTCATAAGTTGTTTAAGCATATGGGAACTTTGGTAGGTTAATTGATTGTAAAGGATGAGACACCTTGCTCATGCTCAGAGGCCTTTTTTCAAATTATTGCTTCATGTTTTCTATTCCAGAAGCACATGCTGGCATAAATGCAACCTTTCAAATTGCTGCTTTCTGTTGTATGTACCTAGAGTAAAACAGCCACTTGAACAGTCATCAACACAGCAAGTTCTGCAGCTGGTTTCTTATGTGATTATTAGGGATGAGTCATAGCTCACTTGCAGATGTTGCAGTCATAATGACAGCTTATTAATTGCATCATTTTCACACTGGATCAGTTTAGATGACATCACCAAACCACTGTGTTTGGCCACACACACACTTGTTCCCTCCTGTCCTCAAACACTTCTGATTCCCCACTCTGGTTCTTGTTTCACACAAACTACAGGTTGCCTGGACCTGGAAAATGAGGGTTAACTGCTGGGAACCTTTGGAGAGTGGGGCTACTTCTGCTCTTTTTTGGCACCGAGGAGCAGGGGGAGCGAATTATTTTATTTTATTTTAGGCAGGAAGGATACGCTTGAGTTTTGGTGACTGAGGTGTTTCGGAAATGTTATTGCGATTATCTGAACTGGAAACCACCAACTTCGCAACTCTGATTTGGAGGCAACTTTTGGTTAGTAGTAACCACGGTTTGCCTGATGATAACCAAAAGGAGCCATTGTGAATATATTCACCAAATGAACCTTCATACAATGAGAGTTAGAATTTACTAAGTCATTAAAAAGGGAGAGGGAGTCGCTTTAATGTGGTAAATTCCCCCTCTCATCACAAGAAAGAACATGGGTAGGCAAACTAAGGCCCGGGGGCCGGATCCGGCCCAATCGCCTTCTAAATCCGGCCCATGGATGGTCCGGGAATCAGCGTGTTTTTACATGAGTAGAATGTGTCCTTTTATATAAAATGCGTCTTTGGTTATTTGTGGGCCTAGGAATTCATTCATCCTCACCCCCACCCCCACAAAATATAGTCCGGCCCCCCACAAGGTCTGAGGGACAGTGGACTGGCCCCCTGCTGAAAAGGTTTGCTGACTCCTGAGAAAGAAGATTCAAGCAACATATTCACCACACAAAATTTGATGCAGTTAAGATCACTGCTTGAATGTCTTTCAAAAGCCCCAAAGTAACAGCTCTTAATCTCCAGGAAAAAAGCCTAAAGAAAAAGAGAAATGTCAAGGAGCCTAAAACCCTTGCAGCTAAGGAAAAGACCATGCAGGCTCATACTTTCCATGGAATATATAAGCATTAAAAGTGCATTGCACTTTTCCTGACCTGGTTCAGCTGTGCTCATTGAGCCCCACTCCAGGGAACTTTACGTGGATGGTTTCTCCACAGTCTGCCTGTCAGATTAGCCCATATGAGAAGAAGGGGCTCTCTGAAAGCCCTCTCAGAGACACACACAGCCTTGTGTCCAAAAACAGGAAGACAAATATTGGTTTGGCGTACCAGTTTTTTTCCTCCTCGGTATTGGAATTATTTTAAGACAAGCTCTCTTTCTGGAGATGCTTTTATCAGCAAAGCGTCTCCTAGATTAAAGCTACAATTTCAAACAAATGTAGAAAGGTCCAAAACATTATCCAAAACAGTTTTATTATTCCAAGAGTATAATGTAAAAACAAAATTATTTTGGAATGCTCATTAGTAATTCTGACACCAAGACCTGCAAATTACTTCCTGCTAGAAGGGAACGCAGAGGTGCAGCAGGATAGAGAAGAGTCACAGACCATGACTCTTGACTGGAAGAATTTGGTTGCATCACTGAAACGGGGTTTTTTTTAATGAAGAATCTTGCTAGAATACCTGTCATAAAGCTGCAAAGCTCCCAGGATTTGAAGAGATGTCATCGGGATTTTTTGAACATGCAAAATGAGCTATGCTTTTCCTTAGGTACCCCCCCCCCAAAGAAATACCATGAACCACGCAATTTACTCAAAAGTAACCCCCATTGCCTCAACACAAAGCATGACAACTGCTGTATTTTTATGTGATGGGCCCAAATATTTCACCTTGGCAAGCTTCTATGCCTGTGGCATTATAAGCTAGTGATAGGTCAACTTTTCTCAGTTCAATTTGGACTCTAATCAGCAATTGCAAATATCATTGCAGAAGGCTCTGGGAAAATCCAATTTTATTCTGAATGTTCTGAACTGATGTAAATGTTTTTTGCACATGCATGTTACTATTCTGGAACACAAGTGCATCCTTGGAGTGCTCTTTGGTAACTGTAGAGTAGAAGAGTGGGGAGGCAACTCCAGCAGCAGCGGTGATGGTGCTATCACCCACTCACCAGACAGGCAGGAGATGCCACCCAAGAGAAATGTCTGTTGCTATGGTCAGACTTCAGTTTTTTCCTACTCCTATGCAGATGCACGTGGAGACAGATCCTGGCAAGTGATTGTGCATGTGTGTTAGACTCATGATGTGCTGGTCCCGGGGGGAAGGTTACCGTTGGTGTAGTCAAAGTCCGGTCCTGGGTCACTAGTTTGGAAACAGTTCACAAGGAGCGAGGCGAGGTCCGAAGCAGGAAGCCAGGCGGGGACAGGATAACTGGAAGGTCAGGTCTGGGTCCGGGCAAGAGCAGGTACTCAACGACGTTGCTCCCGCAACCTGGGACCGGGCTGACTGGCCTTTATCTTCTCTGAGGTCAGGGGCGGTCCCGGCCCCCAGGAGACCTGCCTCTCCCAGCCTTAAGGCGAGCACTCCTCCTGGGAGAAACCAGTTCCCTCCGCCTCTCTGCCCTAAGCCTCTGCAGTTCAGGAGAGGCTGGGGAGTTACTGGACCCAGGGGGAGACTCACCTTCCTCTGGCAGGGCCGGGAGAGGCGCACCTGTAGGCACTGTGTCCTTAATCACCTCCGGAGCTAGAGTGGAGTCACCTGGTGCCTGCTCCTGAGGATCCGGCACAGGTGCAGGCACTTCAGATCGAAGGCCCCGCCCCAGCTCAGCCGGCCCTGGAGGTGGGGACTCTTGTGCAGGCTGGGGTTCCTCTGGTTCAGCCTCTGAATCGGATTCCCAGGCCATCACACATTAATTGCTTCGAAGGTCACATTTCATACGGAATGCTGTTGGTACATAAACCTCTTGAAATTTTGACATTCCCAGTCCCAAGGGATTGCTCAGAAGCCAGGGTAAAGGTAAAGGGACGCCTGACCATTAGGTCCAATCGTGACCAACTCTGGGCTTGCGGTGCTCATCTCGCTTTATTGGCCGAGGGAGCCGGTATACAGTTTCCGGGTCATGTGGCCAGCATGACTAAGCCGCTTCTGGCGAACCAGAGCAGCGCACGGAAATGCCGTTTACCTTCCCACTGGAGCAGTACCTATTTATCTACTTGCACTCTGACGTGCTTTCGAACTGCTAGGTTGGCAGGAACAGGGACTGAGCAACGGGAGCTCACCCCGTCGCGGGGATTTGAACCGCCAACCTTCTGATCGGCAAGTCCTAGACTCTGTGGTTTAACCCACAGCGCCACCCGTGTCCCGAGAAGCTAAGGTACTGTCTGTAAATTATATTCTCATGTTAAAAACTTCTAGTCAATTGCAGAGAAGGATGGTTTCAAGGGGTTAAACTGACCAATGTCAGAGAACTTAGCAAACAGCAGCTACTAACTTACAGCACCTTTGTCTGATGAATATAGACTGCACAGCGGGGGGGAGGGGGGGAATCTTAATAGTCTCGTTTTACATTATGAGGCAAGGACATTCCTTTAATACATTTGGGCAATATAAACAGGGAAACATTGTATTCTGAAACCATTAATTCCAAACTTCAATGGCATCTCTAATGAAGATGCTGTCTAGCCAGTTTGAAGCCACAGCAGAGACTGAACTTATAATATGAGATCTGGTTGGCAGAGACTCTTGTTTCATTCTGGTACCAGCTTAGAACATCTCTTATTTCCCAAGGCATTGGTGGGTGCTAGTTGCTTAGTTTAAGAGGAAAATGTTCTGCAGCTTTATGGGCAGTTTTATGATTATCTGTTAATTGCTGCACTTTTATCTGATCCATTTTGCTTTAACTTGTTAATTTTTATGCTACTGGGATCAACTGTCTTCCACATTGACACCATCCAAATATAAATTAAAAACATTTCTTTCGCCAGGTGTTTAGGATGCAGCTAACTTAATAAAAAATTATTGCCTGTTGCTTAAGTTTTAATTGTTGAGATAGATAATAAAACAGTAATTAAAATTTTCTATGTGTTGTATTTTATTATTATCTGTCCTGGATTCCTGTGGGAGAAAGAGCAGGATAAAAGCAAAAAAACCCCATAGATTATATAACCATCTTAACTGGCAAACCATGGTTAACAAAGCAAAGAACCCTTCAAAGCAAAGAAGAAACCATGATTTGAAGTGGGTTCCCCCATTTGTTGGGACAAACACTTGCCACAGTTTGCCAGCTTAGATGCCTTTGCAAATTATGGCTAGCATTCAACAGGAAAACGAGAAGTTAGTTATAGTTCATATCTATGCCACCTTTCAGCCAAAAAGATCCCCAAGGTGGCTCTCAAAGGTTAACACAAATACAAAATTCAAACTATAAAGTGAAATACAGTATATGAAGGTTTAAGATAGCAATCTGAAAACGCAGGCAGCATTACGATAAATTCAACAGTGTAAATAAGTTTTGATGGATGTAATAATGGAATACTGAATGGTTTAGTTTATGTAAAATATGCAATGATTTATGGTATACAAAATGAACCATGGAAAAAGGAGAAGGGAAGTCATTGATATTGTACGAATGTTTAATTGAGTATTTAAAATTGTAAAACAGAAGATCTAATAAAAATTATAGATGATAATGATAGATAGATAAATAAATAAATAAATAAATAGATGATAGATAGATAGATAGATAGCAATCTATCCCAATGACAACTTTTAACAAAAAACATAAAACCCGAACACATTTTTCCCACACACGCACACACAAAAACAGTTTTCCCCAAATGTCAAAGAAAGGGGAGTAATCTCCCCACTCCTGATGTTTCCAAACACACTCTTCCATCATGTACAATAGAAGGAAGTTTGTGGGCCTGCAGCTTATTTCCAAATTTACTCAATCATAGTTTTAAGGAGAGTCTGAATTGAGTCTCCAAATCTTTGATGTAATTAAGTCTTATGACAGCCAATGTCCTTTTTAGGTTCTGTTTATGCTACAACATCACATTGCTTTCATGTTCATTATTACCCACAAAACCTAGATGTCTCTGAACAGTGCTGCTGCCTGACTAATTATGCACCACAAGCATTCTGGCATTTAGCATTCCGGCAGATCATGGAATCTGAATTATGTGTTAGTTTCAACAAAACACTGTATTTTAGCATCTTTAACACTAATAGATTTATCAGGGAGTAGGTTTGGTGGACTAAAGCATTGGTCTTAAACTGGTGGGTCAGGATCTGTAACTCGGTTGCAACCTGGTCTTAGTTGGATAACAACAGCATTAACTACCACCAAATGTATATGTTAAAAAAGATTAAATAGTCCCACCACCACTATAACATACTTGTTTGGGTTAGATGTGGGTCTGGGTCTGAAAAGGTTGAAGACTGATAGTCTAGAGGGCGTCTTCAGTTGGGTGCTGTAAAAGTGATGAAAACAGGGAGGAAACTTCCTACAAACTCAGACATCAGCAGAGCTGTGCATACTCTGTAGACTCGTAATCTGGTGAACTGGGTTCGCGTCCCCGCTCCTCCACATGCAGCTGCTGGGTGACCTTGGGCCAGTCACACTTCTTTGAAATCTCTCAGCCTCACTCACCTCACAGAGTGTTTGTTGTGGGGGAGGAAGGGAAAGGAGATTGTTAGCTGTTTTGAGACTCAGGGTAGTGATAAAGCGGGCTATCAAATCCAAACTCCTCCTCTTCTACTCTCTGTGATATAACGGAAAACCAAGGTAACTTAAATTCTGCATGAAGAACTGAATTCTCACTCAGTATATGCAAAATGCAGCTTAAGTACACCTGCATATATTTGCCTATTTTGCATAATTTATTCTGTTGCTAGTCTTGCCATTCAGGGAGTCTTTTTTCAGCTGAAGAGCAGGGTAAAAATACTTTAAATAAATGTAATAGGAAACTGTGATGCCTACTATGTTAGTGCCATTTGTTTTATCTCACTGTTTTTGGTGATGATTTGTATTACACAACGACTTCCTTTTTTCACCTATGGTACTGGTCATTCTGAGTACACTACATTCTGAGTGTAAAATAACAGGTTTTATATCAGACATTACTACTACTACTATGCAAAGCATTAGACCTCGTTTCCACATAAAATCATAATTTCTGGATCCTGAGATTTTATATTTCAGTCCTATCCATTTCTACTCAGGGATTATTTCCACTGCATTAAATAGGGTTTGGTTTACTTAGAATTCCAGGATGAACCAGGTGTAGTCTACTTACATTCAGGTCTACTTTTTTAGTCATGAGGTCTAGAAACTCATTTAAAGAATAAAAGCCAAGATGCACCTCAACCAATCCAACTCTAATATTTGTGTGTGTGTGTGTGTGTGTGTGTGTGTGAGAGAGAGAGAGAGAGAGAGAGAGAGAAACACATAGCCTCTGAGTACAAGCTCAGCCACATGAAAGAAGCTTTGATACTTGCAATATTATTCAATACTTTGCTGGCAATATGATTTTATGTGCCCATTTCCAGATTTCTGTGCCAGATGCACATTGCAATCCTAAGCATGTTTATTCAGAAACAAATCCCAGTGAGTTCAATTAAACTTCTCTAGTAAATGTCCTTAGGCATGCCACCTCAGGATGCATTGCAAAATGAGTCATTTATTCCATGTTTGTGTAATGTGGACCTCAAATGCAGTGGACACCTCCAGGCAATGCTGTAGTAGAAGCATTGAGTGTTAGCAATTCTGAAACTTAGCACAATTTCTGCATTCACACTTTTGAATGTGTAGGAGGGAAAGGGCTGCATAGCAAAGAAAAGAAAGCAGTCAATCATTTGCGTTTGTAAGCAGGGACCTTTTGGATATGCTGCCAATGAACCTTCCCCCAGTTCATTGAGATTTTGCATCATTCTCTCAGAGAAAGGCACATATAAATAACTTTGGTTGCAGACAGAAACCCACAAATGGGAGGATGTGTTTTGGTGGCAGCTGAGTTCTGTGAATTGTCTTCAAAGCTATAATGCTTGTGGGCAGACACTTGAGCCTTATAATAGGAAGGTCAAAGCTGTGGTTTCATGAGGTTGATAGCTGCAATCCTGCATGAAATTTACACATGCCAATGTCCCATTATTTTCAAGTGACAGAAGGCTCCACTCAGCACTGTGTTAGGAGAATGCATATATGTCAACAATTGTGAAGTCTGGTGCAATAGTTTATTTTGCCACAAATGGGGCAGTGAGATACTGTATACTTCCTTCTTCTGCCAGCTGGCCACAGTGACACAAGCAACAAAGTAAATGTTTCTCCCCCTCCCTGCTAATTCCATGAAAAGAAGCCTTGATATATACTGGCCTGAGCAAGATGTGTTGCATCAGGTTTTTGTCTACATGGGGAATGGGATTAACCAAACATGTGAGGTACTTCCAGATGGGCTGCTTATTTGCACAAAATTTGCTCCTCACACACTTGCTAGTTAAATCAACACACCACATCATAGTCACACAAGCAACAGGTTATTGTCTTTGTTCATATGTTATGTATTTTTGTGTCTTTATATTGTAAACCGCCCTGTGATCCTTGGATGAAGGGCGGTATAGAAATTTAACAAAACAATACTTACCATTCTAGTTTATGAGTTTGTTCTCCAAACAGCTTATTTACATTCAGTCTGAAATGAAAGCACTAAAGCATTTCAGATTCAAAGCTATTTGGAGAAAGAGAAGTGGTGGCTGAGGAGTCCAAAAGGTAGGGTTGTACTGGCATACTGAAAAACAGACCGTGAAAGACATGCAGTTTGCCAAGTTCCCTATGGGTAAAACCTGGTGCCGGATTTCTGATCTAATGGAGGAATCTGCTACTGTAAGAGAAGGGTTTTTTTGTTAATCAGTCCTTCTTTCCTGCTGCATCCCCTTGTGCTATTTTCCATGCTTTTGGAGAGAGAGCCCCCCCCCCCAATAATCTAGAATGGGTTTTTTTAAAAGTGCTGGGAATTGCAGCAGGAAGACAAAATTAGAAAAATCATTTCTCCTCTTACATTAGCAAAAAGCTTCTGTAGACCCCACATTGCACAGCATCATATCTTAATTTACTATACTTGAAAGAGGTCTTTGCAGTGCAACTTTAAAATGCTTTTATTTTAAATTTGGCTGAAAGCAGTAGTCCTTATTCAAAGTTACTTATTTTTAAGGACACAAATAGTGCATCGAGAAAATGGAGATGTGGTACATTCCCACCATTCATTTGATTTCTGCGCAAATGCAGAGATGAGCTTGAAGGCTGGGAGAAAGATAAATATGGTACAGATCACCTTCAAGAGGTTTTGGAAACTGCAGACCTTTCACACAGATCGTCATGCCAAGGAAAATTATGGAGAGTCTAATTAAGGACATGCTGGTACAGTAATTGTATAACCTTCTCGGGTCAAACCAGCACAGGTTCTTCAAGGGGAAATTGTGCTTCTCTAACCCGTTAAGAGATCTTTTGAGAAGTTAATTGAAGATTAGATATATGGGAGCTAGTGGACATCATTATTAATGAGAATTATAATTTGAACACATCCAACTCTTTTGTCGCACATCAAACTCATCGCTTAGCACAGGTTTTATTAAAATGGTATCATCCAAGGCAGTGACTATGCAAGATCATGCTGCATTAGCTTTTCCATGAAATATGTATGCCAAAATGCTCATCTATAGAAGTTTCCAAGAGCTCAGTGCCTAGGCCCAACCCCAGATGAGATCTAAGGGTGTGTACACTTTACCTGGCTTCTGTGTCAGCTTTAACACCAGTTAATACTGACTCTGCATGCCAAATTGAAACAGTCTGGGATTCAACCTTTGTTGACAACAATCAAGGTGTGGATGTAGCAAAGAACGTAAACAGCATGTTAAGCAAAAGCTCGAGCCCATTGCAATGCGTAGATCCAGGAAAAGGTGCCAACATCATGCACCAGCTCTACCACTTTCTGCTAGGATGACTCAGCAGTTGGCTATATATGAACTTGTTAGTACACTTTTCCAACACCAGTACACTTTCAATACAGTTTATATATAAACCAGGGTGGATATATGCACCCAATGCTGTTCCAGTTATGATCAAATTCTGCAACCTGCATGAGCAATTAGGCATTTTTTTGTATATTATTCTGCATTTGCTTGTGGCGCATCAAAGAATAATGCATGACCTAAGCACTGGAAATCTTGCTCACCTCCCCCTAGACTTCTTATATTTACCAGGCATTACTGACAACACTTTCAAACTTCTCTTCACAGCTTTAAAGCTGTCTTGTGAGTGAGAGTGTGTGTGTTCAGGTTCTCAGGATGTTCAGTTCTCCAGTCCACACCAACTTCTCTGTTCTTGTGCCAGGCAATTATAGAATACATTTGGCCAATCCCCATAATTAGGTGGGTGATATTCCTTTTAATGTCTGTTATAAGCAGAGAGCAAGATGAAGAAATCCAGGAGTCATTTTGACCTGCAGGGAGCAATGAAATCTACCTGCACTTACCACTATTCCCCACTCCATCACTCTTCAGGTCTGTTTTGAATGGTTTGAGCTAACATCATAGCTGTTCTCAGTTCAGGACACCAACCCATCTCTGGACCACAGGCCCACCTTGTGTACCAATGCAAATACAATGTATTCCAGCAATACAAGACCCAGGCTTGCTTTATTGACAGCATCAGCGCTTTATTCAATTTGTTTCTCAGCATACCAGACAAGATTGAGGAACAAATGAAGCATAACCGTGCCCTGTATGAAAATACATGTCAGACAAACTCAAGATTGCAACACTTCCTAATCTGAGTCATCATGATGTGATTGAGCTCCATACAGTAAATTGCTAACTATTTTGTGGTTCTTGCCATGTAAAATTGTTGATGCGTAGTGGAAGTCTGATCTTTTGCTACCGTGTACAGATCTAGCCTCAAAACTCCCTTGTAACACTGCTGGTTACAGTGAGACCCCTGCCTCAGGTAGTTATAGACATACTGTAGCTTTATTGTTTGAATGTCTCCTGTTTTAGGTCCTAGGCCAGAGGTTTATAGGGTAGTTGTACTGCTATGTACAAAGGGAACAGTTAACTTGAAAACAGGGTCATATCAGCAACAGGCAGACATCCTCACAAGATTACTGGAGACAGGCTTCCCAGTGACAAAGTTTTGAAAAGAAGGTTTATTCCAGTTCCATGAGGCTAGCAGTCACAAAACCAAGGTGCGATGCAAGTTACAGTCCACCAAGGTAGCAATCCATTGCATGCAACCTTTCTCAAGAAGGTCTTGTACAAAGGCTTAGGAATTAAAATGTAAAGCTGTCAAACTGGGTAAACAAGCAAGATGGCTTGTGAAACAAACTGGATTGATGGTAGGGCAGCCTGAACTTTTGTGTCTTAACAGACAGACAAGACTTGAGGCGTGAAACCAATTAGCACTTGATCTGCCTGGCAGTTCCTGTGCACACACACTATGGGCTTCTCCACATTTCTGCTTGTCCCACAGGGTCCCTGTGCTTTCTGGGCATGGGTCCAAGTGGTTTTGCATTTGTTCTGCAGCTTTTCCCTGGAAAACACACTCTTTACTGCTGAATTGGAACAAACAGCAATCTGCAGAAAACCCAAGGGCACTGAGCCATGGATTTTCCAGGGTGTGTGTGAGAGAGAGTTGGGGCAAATGGAGGTGTGGATAAGCCTTATGTCTCAGCATATAGGGCAGACATAGGCCAACTCGGCCCTCCAGATGTTTTGGGACTACAACTCCCATCATCCCTAGTTAACAGGACCAGTGGCCAGGGATGATGGGAAGTGTAGTCTCAAAACATCTGGAGGGCCGAATTTGCCTATGCCTGATATAGGGGATATGTGTGTAAGTCAGGTTAGGGGAACATTTGGCTCTCCAGATGTTGCTGAAGTGCAGCTCCTATCACTCCTGACTACTGGCCATACTTGCTGGGGCTGATGAGAGTTATGGTTTGGCAACATCTGGAGGGCCAAAGGTCTCTTACTCCTGGTGCAAGCAAACACAGCTGGTTACAGGATGCATACCAGCAAGAAAGAAGTGACTGGCTGTAGTTTCTGTGCATGTGTCCAGCACGTGTTTTTATAAAGAAGTTTTTCGCTTTCAAACTTTATAGCGCTCAGCAGAATCAAACCTGTTTGATATGTAAAGTCCCGTTCAGCCTTCACCTATGCCAACCATGTACCAACATCCAGCACTTCTGAAGAAAATTGTATACTCTGGCAATAACAGCATTCCCCACCCCCCCCAGAACAACTACCAATTAGTCACTGGTAAAAAGGCAAGCGGAGTTGTGATGCTGTCATTTCACTTCCTCCCCCCGCCCCCGCCGCACAGTTACTGCTAAGCATGGCTAGGTTTGAAACACAGTACATGTTTGCATAAATAAGAGGTGTAATGGAAAATGTGTGACACTATACTATGAGAGCTTAAGCAGGGCATGCTGGTCCCACAGAAATGAGAAACAGATAAACTAGCGCCAGCTAGTGCTTATGATTCTGGAAGGAAGCTTTTGAATCTTCCTCAGCTATAGATGTGAGCTGCAGAATGTTTCAGAAGTACATTTTTTGCACCCTGCTGTCTTGAGAACTTGGAACTTCTAAAATGCTCATGTACCGAGAGCAGGGATGGACGAGTTTGTCAATTTCTGTTTCTTGTTTTTCTAACCTTAAGTTCAATTTCCCACATCCCCACATCAGTTTGTGATTTTTTTCTTTAAGTCCTCATGAAAGTCCATCAGTATTATAGAGTGAATTTCTCCTTACATACACATGTTTGTATGCAATTTCCCCTAATTTACACATTTTTGCAAAGCAATTTCCTCCAATACGATGCATTTTTGCAATGTTACTTGCACTACTATATGCATTTTAATGCACACATTACCCCAGTATATGCATTTTTGTACCCATTACTTGGCTGGAAAACTGCATTGCAGTGTGACTTCTGAAGGATGGCTGTGTCTCAGATGTTTCAGGAAGTGTGAATTAGAGAGAGTCATCCTTAAATGGAAGCTGAAATCAATTTTCTCCCCATTCCCAACCAAGAGTGAGTAGCTGATGAGAGGTAACTGTTAAATAGCAGCATTGCATTCCCACACCCGATATTCCTTCTGTTGCTAAGCAAGCCACCACAAATGATGGGTTCCAGAGACACCATTGATTCTTTCAATCGATTACTTTCAGTCAAACATGGGCCAATTTTTACCAAATTCAATTAGTTTTTTTTAAAAATCACATTAGTGTACTTAAAGCCCTAAGATCACATGGTGGCCTTCAGGGCACGAAGTCAGCTTTCCCCAAACCACCCACAGCCACTTTGCATTACTCGCCAGAAGCAGAGCAGATAAGCAGGAGATACTAGTTGATACTGTGAAATCTGAATTAGGGTTCAAGACCTGTAGGCACGGTGCCTGGCACTGACATCTGAGAAGACCCAACCCAGATCTAAAACCGTATTAATTCAGAGGGTCATGAGTCCTGGGTGAAATAGATCCATTTTTGACAATGAAGGGAAAAAGCCCAACACCACCCAGATTTATATTAATTATCTGTACCTCTGGTCTGGGGCCAAATGCAGTCCTCCAGGATTCTCTGTCTAGCCCTTAGGACTCTCTAGGCCAATCCTGTCTGTAGTAACTAGCAGGACTCATAATATCCCCTCCTGCAAATCATTCCCACCCACTGACTTCCTCATATTCCCTAGAGGCAACACCCATCCCACTGCTAAGAGGGGCCACACCCTAGCCGTCCAGAGCCCCCGCATGACTAGAGAGTAAGGAGAAGCCACTGGTTCTGAGCCCCCTCAGAGTCCCATCCTGAGGCCAGTTAAAGTCAGATCTTACTAGCATGGAGAAGAGGAATGCCTACCTACCACTCCCTAGCAACAAAGAAACACCACATGTGGCAATGTCAAAGCTTTTGTTGCAGTTCATGCAGGTTTGCCAACCAGACACCCTAGCGAGTCTCCTGGCCCTTGGGTGATGGCTTTATAAACAGCACAGTCTTAAAAGATCTAGGCCAAACCAAAATGAACCCAGGTAGAAACATTTAAGTCCATGCATGCATCTGTATGTGTTTTACTGAAGGTTCACACAATAGTCTAGAGCAGGGGTAGGCAACCTAAGGCCCAGGGGCCGGATGTGGCCCAATCACCTTCTCAATCCGGCCCACAGACGGTCTGGGAATCAGCGTGTTTTTACATTAGTAGAATGTGTGCTTTTATTTAAAATGCATCTCTGGGATATTTGTGGGGCATAGGAATTCGTTCATTCCCACCCCCCAAAAATATATATAGTCCGGCCCAACACATGGTCTGAGGGATGGTGAACCAGCCCACGGCTGGAAAAGGTTGCTGACTCCTGGTCTAGAGCCTTCTATAAAATTCTGCACCCCACAGCTCCTGCTGATGTCACATGCCCTTTAATCTTGAGCCTCCTTGTACAACCCGTCATAGTCTACTTGGAATTTACAAGATTAGCTGATGTGGTCAGTTGATCTTCTCTGAAACAGCAATAAAAACTCTTAACACACACTGTTGTTGGGAAAGACCTGTCCCTGGTGTACCAAGCAGACCTTGAGGGGAATGGAAACCAACAAAAGTCTCCAAGACAATTTACTAAGAACTGGCCAGAGGTCAGCTAGCTAATACTTTACCTCTCCCTTCTTTGCATGAATGAACCTTGACCAGACTTTTAAGCTCCTGTAATCTCCCATATCTTCCAGCACTGTAGAACAGTTATGCCTTGAAGCCAGCATGCTCCTCTTGTCCCACCCTAGAGTCATTTCTAACCCATTAAAAAAAATCAAATATGCTACTTTCAGACATGGTGCCTTTTAGATGTTTTGGGCTACAACTTCCATCATCCCTGACATAGGCCATGCTGGCTGCAGCTAATGAGAGCTATAGTCCATAAGATCTGGAGGGCACCACGTTGGCTACCCCAGTGTTACTGCAAGTCAGAAATGTCCGAAATCAGAGCATGTCTGGATCTGCATCCACTTTTGTCCAACTAAAAAAATGTAACGGAACACATTTTGAAAAAATTCTGAAATTAAAAAAAGATGTAGTTCCTATTTACATCAATGGCCTCTGATCCTTACAAGTAAAGCCAGTGCCACTGAATTCAGCTAAGTGATAATCTGTTTGCTAACCATTATTGTTTGGAGCACCCTTGAGCACTCATTGTTTTATAACTAGATTCAGGATCTTTGTTTTGGAGGCTTCTCGTGTCACACCCAGAAAGTATCAAGAATATTTTTTAAAAAATAACAATAATCGGGAGTATCTGGACATTTCAACACAGCTGAAGGAAAATGGCAGGGCAGCAGTTGAAGAAGGAGCAAAAAGGGTTTTCTTGTGTGTGTGTGTTTCTTTGTGGCTGATTGGCTGCTCTCCCTGTGCAAAGGTCAGAGGGGGCAGGGTTTCTGTTGAGGCAGGTGATTAGCTGTGGGAGGAGCTTATCAGAGTTTGCAGGGCAGCAGTTGAAGAAGGAGCAAAAGGGTTTTCTTGTGTGTGTGTGTGTTTCTTTGTGGCTGATTGGCTGCTCTCCCTGTGCAAAGGTCAGAGGGGGCAGGGTTTCTGTTGAGGCAGGTGATTAGCTGTGGGAGGAGCTTATCAGAGTTTGCAGGGCAGCGGCGCGCGCCTAGCGGCGCGCGCAGTTTGATCCATCTTTTAGATTTAGGGAAGCTAGTCTCAAACGTTTGTTGGGGAGACCTAGGTTTTTTGTGGGGGAGTTATTTTCCTGCCTTCACGCTTTTTATGATGGAGGACCGCTGTAGCCACCCCCAACAACACGTTCTCAAGATGGAGGGGGAGGGAACAGCTGCAGTTGCCTGCGGTTCCTGCGCAATGTTTGCCATCTTGCCAAAGGTTGCAGGCAGCTTTACCTGCAGCAATTGCATGTTGATTGCCCTCTTAAAAGACAAAGTCCAGCAACTGGAGGAACGTGTAGCTACGCTCCAAAGAATTAGAGAGCTGGAGCTCTTCTTGGAAGCAACAGAGCACACCGTCTCCACCAAGGAGGAGACAGGGGACTCCCCTGAGAAGGACGCTAGTTCACCAACACAGGAGCCAGATATATGGAGAAACGTGACTCAAAGAAGTAGGAGGCCCAGGGTTCGCTCTGATTGTTTAGAAATACACAATCGCTTTGAGGTCCTCTCCCCTAGCATGGAAGACGAAGAGCAGACTCCATTTGAGGATCTCTCCCTCATTACAGTCGATCAGGTATATGAAGACGAGCAGCAAAGTCAGTCCTCAGGGAATGTGCAGGCGACCTTGGAGCGGACAGCTCACGGAAGAACCCCGACCAAACCTAAGAGGAGGCGTGTAGTGGTGATAGGGGATTCCCTACTGAGGGAACAGAAGCAGTGATCTGTGGGCCTGACAAGATGTCTCGGGAAGTGTGCTGTCTCCCGGGGCTAAGATCCAAGATGTAACTGAACGACTGCAAGGAATCATAAAACCCACTGACAAATACCCCTTCCTCTTGGTTCATGTGGGAACCAATGACACTGCAAGCAATAGCCTCCAGAAGATCAAAAGAGACTACGAGGCTCTGGGCAGGAAATTGAAGCAATTAAATGCACAAATTGTGATCTCATCTGTCCTCCCAGTTGAACGACGTGGCCCAGGGAGAGAGGGAAAATAGTGGAAGTGAACAGCTGGCTTCGCAAATGGTGTAAACAGGAACGGTTTGGATTCTTAGATCACGGACTGCAGTTTCTTGAAGATGGACTTCTGGCAAGCGATGGGCTGCACCTCACAACGGTTGGGAGAAATGTTTTTGCCAAAAATCTCAGAAACCTCATCAGGAGGGCTTTAAACTGACTAATGTGGGGAGGGAGACAGTGCTCCTGAAGGTAGGAGTCTATCAATTGATGAAGATGATCATCCAAATGTCATAGACCAAATGGAGCAAACAGCACACAGACCTAGTGGTGGGAGGAAAAAATCCTTAAATAAGAGTCACGGGGAATGATTAATGGACTTCAATGTCTGTACACTAATGCGCAAAGCATGGGAAATAAACAAGATGAGCTTGAGCTCTTGGTACAGCAAACTAAATATGACATAATAGGCATCACTGAAACCTGGTGGGATAAGTCCCACGATTGGAATGTAAATAATCCGGGGGCTACAATCTATTTCAGAGAAACAGACCAGACAAGAAAGGAGGAGGAGTGGCGTTATATGTCAGGGATGTGTATACCTGTGAAGAGATCCAAGATTTAGAACCTCAAAGCCAAAGTGAGAGCATTTGGGTCAAAATTAAGGGAGAGAAGAATAACAGTGACCTCATTGTGGGAGTTTACTATAGATCCCCAAGCCAAACGGAGGACATAGATGATGCCTTCCTGGAACAGATGGCCAAGCATGCAAAAGGAAGGGAGATAGTAGTAATGGGGGACTTCAATTACCCGGATATTTGTTGGATGTCAAACTCAGCCAAGAGCATAAGGTCAAACAGATTCCTCACTGGCCTTGCAGACAACTTCATTGTCCAGAAAGTGGGAGAAGCAACAAGAGGAACAGCCATTTTAGATCTGGTCCTAACCAATGTTGATGACCTGGTTAGTGGGGTAGAAGTGGAAGGATCATTAGGCGCGAGTGATCATGCTCTTCTGAAGTTTACTATACAGCGGAAAGGAGCAGCCAAGCATACTAGGACTCAATTTCTTGACTTTAAGAAAGCTGACTTCATAAAACTTAGGGAAGTGCTGGGTGAGATCCCATGGACAGTAATACTAAAAGGAAAGGGAGTTCATGATGGCTGGGAGTTTGTTAAGAGGGAGATACTAAAAGCACAACGTCAGGCAATACCAATGAGACAGAAACATGGAAGGTGCCTAAAGAAGCCAGGGTGGCTATCTAAAGAACTTTTAACTGAGTTAAGATTAAAAAGGATGTGTACAAAAAATGGAAAAGGGGAAACCACCAAAGAGGAATTCAAACAAATAGCCAGCACGTGTAGACACAAAGTCAGAAAAGCTAAAGCACAGAATGAACTCAGGCTTGCTAGAGAGGTTAAAAGCAACAAAAAAGGCTTTTATGGGTATGTCCGTAGCAAAAGGAAGAACAAAGAAACAGTGGGGTCACTCAGAGGAGAAGATGGTGAAATGCAAACAGGGGACACAGAAAGGGCTGAACTCCTCAATGCCTTCTTTGCCTCAGTCTTCTCCGATAAAGAAAACAATGCCCGACCTGAAGAATTTGGAGCAAATGATTCAGCAAAGGAAACACAGCCCAGAATAACTAAGGAGATAGTACAAGAATACTTGGCTAGTTTAGATGTATTCAAGTCTCCAGGGCCAGATGAACTGCATCCAAGAGTATTAAAAGAACTGGCAGATGTGATCTCAGAACCACTGGCAGTCATCTTTGAGAATTCCTGGAGAACAGGCGAAGTCCCGGCAGACTGGAGGAGGGCAAATGTTGTCCCTATTTTCAAAAAGGGGAAAAGAGAGGACCCAAATAATTACCGCCCAGTCAGTCTGACATCAATACCAGGGAAGATTCTGGAGCAGATCATTAAGCAAACAGTCTGTGAGCACCTAGAAAGGAATGCTGTGATCACCAATAGTCAGCATGGATTTCTGAAAAATAAGTCATGTCAGACTAACCTGATCTCGTTTTTGACAGAATTACAAGCCTGGTAGATGAAGGGAACGCAGTGGATGTAGCCTACCTTGATTTCAGCAAGGCATTTGACAAGGTGCCTCATGATATTCTTGTAAAGAAGCTGGTAAAATGTGGTCTTGACTATGCTACCACTCAGTGGATTTGTAACTGGCTGACTGACCGAACCCAAAGGGTGCTCATCAATGGTTCCTCTTCATCCTGGAGAAGAGTGACTAGTGGGGTGCCACAGGGTTCTGTCTTGGGCCCGGTCTTATTCAACATCTTTATCAACGACTTGGATGATGGACTCAAGGGCATCCTGATCAAATTTGCAGATGACACCAAATTGGGAGGGGTGGCTAACACCCCAGAGGACAGGATCACACTTCAAAACGACCTTGACAGATTAGAGAACTGGGCCAAAACAAACAAGATGAATTTCAACAGGGAGAAATGTAAAGTATTGCACTTGGGCAAAAAAATGAGAGGCACAAATACAAGATGGGTGACACCTGGCTTGAGAGCAGTACATGTGAAAAGGATCTAGGAGTCTTGGTTGACCACAAACTTGACATGAGCCAACAGTGTGACGCGGCAGCTAAAAAGCCAATGCAATTCTGGGCTGCATCAATAGGAGTATAGCATCTAGATCAAGGGAAGTAATAGTGCCACTGTATTCTGCTCTGGTCAGACCTCACCTGGAGTACTGTGTCCAGTTCTGGGCACCACAGTTCAAGAAGGACATTGACAAACTGGAACGTGTCCAGAGGAGGGCAACCAAAATGGTCAAAGGCCTGGAAACGATGCCTTATGAGGAACGGCTAAGGGAGCTGGGCATGTTTAGCCTGGAGAAGAGGAGGTTAAGGGGTGATATGATAGCCATGTTCAAATATATAAAAGGATGTCACATAGAGGAGGGAGAAAGGTTGTTTTCTGCTGCTCCAGAGAAGCGGACACGGAGCAATGGATCCAAACTACAAGAAAGAAGATTCCACCTAAACATTAGGAAGAACTTCCTGACAGTAAGAGCTGTTCGACAGTGGAATTTGCTGCCAAGGAGTGTGGTGGAGTCTCCTTCTTTGGAGGTCTTTAAGCAGAGGCTTGACAACCATATGTCAGGAGTGCTCTGATGGTGTTTCCTGCTTGGCAGGGGGTTGGACTCGATGGCCCTTGTGGTCTCTTCCAACTCTATGATTCTATGATTCTATGAAATCAGAAATCAGATGTCCTGCTTTATTGTTGCTTATATTACAGCAGGGAGGGGGAACTTGTGGCCCCCCACATACAGGCTGTTGGTCTACGCCTGTAATTCTCATTGCTCCTTATCATTGGCCGTGCTTGCTGGGGCTGCTGGGAGTTGAACCCAACAATTACTGTAGGGCTACAGGTTCCACACCTCGTTCCACATCCCTGAGAAGGGAAAGCATAACTACCCCTACCAGTGTTCCATTGTGGAGAGTATTGTAAAAATCCATACCGCATTGTACATGATTTTCCTCTTCACCCCACCAGCATCCACACAGAACATGGGAGACTAGAAAGCCACAAGTTGTTAGAATGGAAAGTATTTTATTATGAGTTTGCAGATGCCATACCAGAGGCTCAGAAATAGTGAAATTTCCAAGCAGTAAGTAACATATAGTGCATCTCCTTACCCTAGCACCATATTTCTTGGAGACATAGTATTAAAAATGTATTGAAATCCTGACCTCAACATGCTGAACGTTAAGTCTTTTAAATTAGGAAAGCCTAAAACAATGCAACAAATAGAGAGCTGGCATAGTGCAGTTGGCATCCGTCTGTCTTGAGAGACAGCCTCACTGATGTAGTCCAAAGGAAAACAGAGCAATACATTTGGCACAAGCTTGGCTGCAAGAGTTGCCAGAAGGAGGCACCATCCAACTGTCTTAGGGACTCCACCTGTGTAGGGTTTACTCCTTAGCCCTTTCTTTGCCCAAAGATATCCTGCAAGGCAGTGGTGGTTTCAGATCAGAGTTTTCCTTCTCCTAGATGGTTGAGAAGCCCCATCTGCCTATAGTGTAGCAGTGGCTATGAAACTGAACTATAGGAAGCCATGAACTCAGTAGGTGGCTTTGGGCAAGCCACTCTTGGTCAGCCCCTCCCCCTTGCAATAATATTGCCTTACCTTCATTCATTCATTCATTCATTCATCTCCCTGAGTCACTTAACCTATATTCTAACACTTACTGGACTCTTGTAAGAATTATAGCATCATAGCGCAAGAAGACTGCAACTGATAGATGGCCTTCCAGTTTCTGGTTAGAAGCCTCCAGTGAAGAAGAGTGTGCCAGTTTTCCAGGCAGTACCAATAGTTTGTACTTTCAGGAAGGTCTTCCTAGAATTTACTTGAAATCCCTTTCTTGTAATTTGAACCCTCTGGTGGTTCAGGCTCCCCCCACTGGAGCCACAGAAAACAAGCGTGCTGCATCATCTATGAGGCAGCCCACCCTTCCAATATTTGAAGATGGCAATTACATTGCCTCGTAGTAAGTCTCTTCCAAGCAACCAGAAAATGCAAGTGTAGTGCTTTGAATGCAGGAAGGCACCATGCAAATACTGTATTATTAGTAGTAGTAGTGGTAGTGGTATTAAAATTGACAAGTTCCTTCAGAATCTGCTCATGACAATTTTCACAGACTCCATCTTAAACATTTTATGCTTTACTCGTCTGCTTTAGTTCAGTTTGGGCTGTGACGAATCATGGCAGAGGAAAACAAACACAAAATAAGCAAGGTCAGAACAAGCAACCGTCCCTTTTACAGCACTTAATAACCCATCTTTGGTTCAGGCCTATCAACACAGATCAAGCCAGGGAGCCTTTGGGTGGAAAGAGCACAGCCTGGAACCTAGCATGCATGTGGTTTTACAGTTCTGGGAAAGAATGAGAATATAAGAATATGAAACTCAACAATGCCCCAATGGGATGCTGTTTGGTTTCTGCAACTAATAGAATCTAGTCAGGCAATTTCAAAGGAAATCCAATTAGAAATTAGTGCAAGAATGCAACGCTTAAGCAGCAAAGAACAAATCCCAGAAGGGGAATTTATTTGTTTTGCTTTAAAATTGGAACCCTGGAAAAGGGCAAAAAGCTGCTTATTGTTTCTCCTCTGACTCTTTCAGTTTATTATTATTTTAAACATATGCAGATATGTCACAAGTTGTAATGAAAGCTGAAGAATAGGAATGGCAACTCATGAAAGAAAATTCTGGTATGGGGGCGGTTGCACGACTCAAACTGGATTTACTAGACCCATATATTTTTTTAAGCAATATGAACTAAAGTCACTTCTGGGGCTCCTCTGGGATTAGGGCCCTGAAGCTTAAGCTTCATGAGTTTCATAGTAGATCCGCCCCTGCTGATGATAAATATGTGCCATTAAATGTCATGTCAAAGGTATGAATGGAAAAGCTGGACACAACATATCTATATTGGTGAAAACATTATTATCAAACTGGGAAACAGTCAAAATATAAATTGATTTTTGATACATTACCTACAATACCAGTCTTCTTCAGTGAAGAGTAAGGATACTAATAGAGAGTTTGTAATTACAGTGGTACCTCGGGTTAAGAACTTAATTCGTTCTGGAGGTCCATTCTTAACCTGAAACTGTTCTTAACCTGAGGTCCCACTTTAGCTAGTGGGGCCTCCTGCTGCCACTGCGCCGCCGCCGCGTGATTTCTCTTCTCATCCTGAAGCAAAGTTCTTAACCCGAGGTACTATTTCTGGGTTAGCGGAGTCTGTAACCTGAAGCGTATGTAATCCGAGGTACCACTGTACGGGAACTGTGTCATTGTAACAATATTATGGAATGCATCTTTTTAAAAGGAGGGAGAATTTAAGATGGTAGTATCTGTGATTGTATGGAAAGTAACAACAGATCTTTGTTATTTCATTGTTTCCACAAAAGGCACTGTAGCACATATGTGAAGATGGGCTGCAGAGGAACTTTGAAAAGTTTTTTTATTGACTTTTCTCAATAGTGCATAGTTTGTTACACAAAGAGGTGACTGTTAAAAAATTCAAAGGTTAAAACTTAAATGGAACAATACGTAGGGGGAGAAAACTCATGAAAAGTGAAACGCCTCATTTGCTAATGAGATAAGCTAATAAAAACAGCATAAGAAATGGCATCTTACCCCTTGTTAAGATAAGCAAGTTCAATATGGGAACGCCAGACAGCACACTGGCCGTATTCAAGATGCACTGCCAATGACATGCATATGCAGTGGAGGGGAGAGATTATTTAGGACAATGGAACAGAAAGTATTAGAAATAAATCTTTATAATCATTACCTAAGTCTCCAATTTGACTTTTGCTTGGGTTTATAGAAGACTTGAGGCAAACAGAACATCAAGAAATGGTGACCAATTAAGTAATAACAACAAGAAATAAAAGTATACAAGGAATAGAAACAGAATACCGTTGGAAGGTTCTCAATCAGTATAATGGTTAAAAAAGACTTTTCAGACACCTTTTATTATAGTTAAATATATGGCAAGACCTCATGGCAAAAATAAGAAGTTTAAGGCTGCAATCCCATACCCATTTACACAGGAGTAAACCCAGTTGAACTCAATGGGATATACTTCTGGGTAGACATATATAGGATTATGCTATAAATAAAGTAAAAAAGCTATTAGAATAAAAACAGTTTGAAAACCATTTCATATAATCACTGTTTCCCTAGAATCTCATTGTAAATTGAAATGCATCCACTTATGATGAAGTTTAACAGATACTCTTACCAATGAAATTATTGATAACTTCTTTTTCCTGCAAGCTGGATTTTTTCTGAGATAGATATCCTTTTTAGGAATGACTCAATTAGGCAAAAGGGGCGTGGGTCAGAATAGATGCTTTCTGGCACAAAGGCTTCAGTTAAGTTTTTAATTTATGATTATTCAGTGCTTTATGAATTTTGTCTTATAACCTGTTTAAAATATATGGAGAAGCGATGAAACAATGCAAGATTAAGTTGGGGGGAGAAACCTACTTTGTTTTAGGGCAAAATAAAAATGTCAAGGCCAATGTGTGATTTTTAAAAATGGTTTGTCTTTTGATACAATTTTGTACAGTTTATGGGTATGAGTGGCTTTATTTGAGGAGGTTTAAATCTGTAGTTGCCAAAAAAAAGTGGGGGGGGGGAGGCTGCCCCACATTAATAAGTCAATGAAATTCCAGGTTTCTATGTAGAATTCATTTTGACCAGCATACATGGATACATACATGGATATCATTACAACAGCCTAATCTTCACTAGGATTTTCACATGGATTAGTTTAACTCTGATTAAAGCATATTTTCTCCTACTGGGACTTGGAAACACAAACTTCAATAAGCCAACCTTCAATCAAAGCTCTCACAGATTTAAATAAATGCTGTCCCAAAATAAATTCAATTCTGCGTGCATTACGAGTCACGTTTGTATTGAGAAAGTTAAACAACAGATTAGTCTAATGACACCTCTCACGTCAAGGGGCAATCATATATACACCTACCTGGGAGTAAGGCCCACTTAAGCAACAGAGGACTTACTTCTAAGTAAGCCTGCATAGGAATGCACTGTGGAATGCAACTATTGACTACATGTGTGACTGCATCAGCAGAATGTAGCCAATTTAGAAAAGCAGAATTGGACTATGGTCAGGAATGATGGAAGCTGAAGTTCAACAGCACAACGTTGGGGAGGCTGATCAAACCCAATATGGCTGCCAGCTGCTTTACAGTTTCTTTGGAGGTCGAAGGCTAAACTGTGGGAGCTTCTTCGTGAAGAACATACGCTCTGTCGCCAAGCTGCGTTGCCTCTCCCTGCTCTCAGACAGTATTCTGACTGTAGACATGTGATCAGAATTTTTTTTATGCTGAGATTTTGCTTTCCCCCTCTCCCTCACTCCCCATCAGCAGCCAGCAGTTACTGACATCCCCATTCCAGCACTCAGCCTTTCCTTCAGAGAGACAATGTCCGTTTGCACTGGCACAACACGCTCAACCAGATGCTGCCTGGAAGGTTCCATCTTCAATAAGACAAGGAAAAACATATCCCACGATGACAAGAACAATCTCGGTCAGAGGGAAAGAATGAACTCAGCTCCTCCTTTGCCGCACAATCACTCAACTTGCCTTACATTTTCCTGTTTTCACCTGCCACTAAATGCTGGGCAGAGCCAAGTAGCCGACACATGAAATTATGGATTTAATATATCAAGGAAGGATCTCCATGTGCAGAGGGTTGTGCATTTTAGGCAGAACAATGAACTGAATGGAGGCCACATCAGCACTCTGCTTGGCTGGGCCAGTTGAACTCTGAGCAAAGTATCAGTGGAGCACTCTTGTGAAAGATGCATTGTTTACAACTACCCAAGGGGATGGGCAGTCCAGCTAAGTTAGGATCTGGACAGAATGGCTTTCAAACCAGCACGATGCCTCAGGGCAAATTTGCCAGGAATGATCAGAAAGCTGCTGTTTATGCCCACAAGAAGTTAGTGCTCCCTGCCCCACCCCCCTGCTAACGCAGAAGTAGGAAGCCACAGAGCCATTAGCTCGGGTGCCAAGAGAGCGATGCAAGAGCAGGAAGCTAGCCATGAAACAAACTTCTGTGGGCCGAAGGAAGGTGTATTGTTTCCTGGGGAAATGTGTGCATATCACAATTTGGACCAGCCTTCCCCAACCTGGTGCCCTCTAGACATTTTGGACTCCAACTTCCATCAGCATGTATCATTCAGCAGAATATTTGAAACAGGAGCCTACACAGATAACAGTGTTGCAGACACAGGTTTTCCATGTGATCGACAGCCCTGCATCCATGTCTATACACATGCAGGTCTGCAGGGATGAATACTGCATCTCTCCCACTTCTACTGGCAGGAGCATCCCATGAGCATCTCCACTCCAGGGCTGGAACCATCACAGAAAACTTAGTGAGGAGGACCCAAGCCTATGTGAGGAAAAGTGGTATTTCCAATAAATAAACAAACAGCTAGGACCAGGCATCCATCCAACGGAGGCATATACAGTATGTGTAGAATAGGAGTAACCATCCAGACATCATGAGACTCTGACTCTTATAATACCTAATAATAAGAATAATTTATACCCTGCCCATCTGGCTGGGTTTCCCCAGCCACTCTGGGCGGCTCCCAACAGAATTAAAAGCACAATAAAACATCAGGCATTAAAAACTTCCCAAAACAGGGCTGCCTTCAAATGTCTTCTAAAAGTCAGATAGTTGTTTATTTCCTTGACATCTGATGGGAGGGCCTTCCATAGGGCAGGCACTACTACTGAGAAGGCCCTCTACCTGTTTCCCTGTAACTTCGCTTCTCGCAGTTAGGGAACCGCCAGACTCACTGGGAATGATGGAAGTGGAGAGTTCAACACTATCTGAAGTTTTCTACCTTGGTGTTGAGTAACCTGTCATTCACCTCTAGTCTCTTTTACAGCAGATATACCCCTAAAAATGCAAAATGCAATGAGTTCCCATTTCAGTTGGGCCATCTACACGTTACTACAGCTCCATTTTCTGCACTATATATTTAAAGCAGTCTCATGTCACAATAAACAGTCGTGCCTTCACCCAAAGAATCCTGAGGGAGTTACCCTGGAAGAGGGATAGACCTTTTAAGCCACTCTAAAAAGTGTAACTCTGTGAGGGGAATAGGACAACCTCACAACTCTCAGCACCCTTAACAAACGATAGTTTCAATAATTCCTTGAGGGAAGTCATGTTTGTTTAAAGCAGCATGATACTGCTTTGAATGTATACTGCAGATGAGGCCTCAGATGACTACCACCTTTACGTTCACACATAATACACAAACCTTGGATCTTGCGTGCTAGAGATAAAAGGTATTTACAGGTTACCAGAGATCCCAACAAGGAACCTCCAGCCTTCACAGGTTTCTGTGAATGCCATCATCTACCAAGGAAATGTCCAAATGATGTCTAGACATTATTTATTAGCCATAGTCAATGCATTTCTGTACTGCATTTTCAGCAACATGTTTGTGCTCAAAGCAGTTTAGAATATAAGCAGCCTACAAATATCTAAAGAGTTGTCACATGGAAGATGAAACAAGCTTGTTTTTTCTGGCTCCAGAGGCTAGGACCAGAATCAATGGATTGAAGTCACAAGAAAGGAGATTCTGATGACAACAACATTTATACCTTGCCCATCTGGCTGGGTTTCCCCAACCACCCTGACTAAACATCAGGAAGACCTTTCTGACAGTAAGAGGTGTTTGGCAGTAGAACAGACTCCTGCGAGAACTGGTGGACTCTCCTTCCTTGGAGGTTTTTAAGCGGAGGTTGGGTGGCCGTCTGTCATGTATGATCTAGCTGAGATTCCTACATTGCAGGGGGTTGGACTAGATGACCCTCAGGATCCCTTCCAACACTACAGTTCTGTGATTCTATGATTCTACAATAATAGTACATAAACATAATACATAAAAGTTCTGTGAAAGTCATTGAAAACACAACAAAAAGTGACTAAAAAGCTCAATAACAATCAGCTACTTTGAAGTGGGCAGCTGAACTGTTTAGTGAAGCACTTTTGACTGGTTTCCAGAGTTTTCCTAAACACAGTTGTTGGAAATTAAGGCAAAGTTTATCTGTACTAAACTTGTTAGAGTGAAGAAAAGCACAGCATAGGACAGGACTGAGGAACTACAACATCCATCATCCCTAAACATTGGCCATGCTTCCTGGGACTGATGGGAGTTGTAGTTCAACATCTGGAGAGCCACAGGTTCCCCAGCCCTGCTGTTGGGAGAATTTAGTGCTTTCCAACTTTCAGTTCCCTTTGCTGCTTCTCACACTACCATCCTACTGGTGGCTTGATAGAGGGCTTGTATATTCAAGACTAAGTGCTTTAAGCTAATGACTTGAATAAAGGAAGGACCAAGCAGTACAGACGTTGAAGGTCCATCGACACAATGATTATGAAGGAAGAGACAGGCTGAATCTATTGCAGTACAATCCCATCGACTCCCACTTCATCTGCACTAACGAATGCAGAATAGCCAAGAGTATGGCTATTATTTGTTTTCTTTTAGACTTTTCAGGATTTCTGGTGTACCACTGTCTTACACACAATACTAGGCCAGGGCTGCAATTGCAGAAAGTCCCACTGTATGTAAAGTGACTTACTTCTAAGACTTGCTTGAGAGTAAGCCTATGTAGCAATGCAGCCTTGCACCCCCAAGGCTACACCTACTCATTTTGCTCAATAAGGTTTGCTCTCTTTCTGGTAAGTGTCTGCAATATTGCATTATGGCCAAACTAGATGTTATGCACAGGCATGTGTGACTGTACCTAAATGGTCCTTTTTAAGAAGCAAAAGCCCCTTTGGAGTAGGGAGGTGTTTAGGCTTTTCTTAAACCTTCCTGCTTACCCCCTGCTTGTTTGTCAGCTCCCCACTTGCAGCTCATGAGTTCCAAATGGAGGAAAACACTCATTTAGAACTCCTTAGACAGGAAAGCTGGTGCAGGGGGCCAGGGGTGGTGAAGAGAAATAGGTGCTTCACCTTTTCCCCAGCTCTTCTCCAGTACCAATTACCAGCCCCCAAAAGCAACTTTTCTTGCTTAAAAAAATAGTGTAAGAGTAGATTTGGTCCTTAGTGTATATATTTAACACATACATGAACTCAGGAGACTGTCATTATCTTTTCAGAATTGCTATCCACAATTGGTGCTCCGACTGGAATTCGGTTTCCCAAACCATTCTGCTTGCCCTTGTGTTCTAAAGCAACTTTCTCATAGATTTCTTGCGACTGGAGATATATGCTTAAAAGTATGTAAGTAACACCTGGTGAAATCTCAGAAGCCAGAGGAGTTGCTGAATATTTTCCAGTAGTCGGAGTCCAAGTCTTAGTTTCCTGTATAGGGGTTTGGGGTTTTTTACCCCTTCTAAAGACTAATAGACATATGAAAAATGCAAATGTGCTCAATTTGCATAATTTAGACAAAGTTACAGAATTCTGCTCTCTGTGATACAGGATTTGGGTTATTCTTGCACAGGATTTTGATATGCATACACTTATTTGCTCCGACCTGCCTGCCGCCTCTCATTTTGGTTAGGAATGGTTTGTGATATAGAATAATCCCTGAATCAGTGTTGAAAGTGGGGTCAGAAGATAACATGCAAGTACTTAACTGGAGAGTTATAGGTTTAAAACTACTCCTTAGTTACTAAATTCATTTGGCGGCTTTGTGAAGTGATTCCCTGGAGATCTCTTCCAGTACACCTGATCCTGATAGGACATACAAGAATACTGGAGGGCTTCTGTCTACACTGCTCACCTGTATGAACTGTAAAAGGTAAAGGTAAAGGGACCCCTGACTGTTAGGTCCAGTCACGGACGACTCTGGGGTTGCGATGCTCATCACGCTTTACTGGCCAAGGGAGCTGGCATACAGCTTCCGGGTCACGTGGCCAGCATGACTAAGCTGCTTCTGGTGAACCAGACCAGCGCACAGAAATGCCATTTACCTTCCTGCCGGAGCGGTGCCTATTTATCTACTTGCACTTTGATGTTCTTTCGAACTGCTAGGTTGGAGGAGCAGGGACCGAGCAACGGGGGCTCACCCAGTCGTGGGGATTTGAACCTTCCCAAGTCACTCTGGAACACAGAAGCCATTCCTCATGGCCTTATGCTAAGTAAGACCATTAGATAATCTAGCTCACCAACTACAGCATTTCTTCTGGGTTGCAGATAGGGGGCATTCCCTAATCTACCAGGAGATACTGGGGGTCGAACCCAGGAACTTCAGCATACAAAGCTGATGCTCTACCATTAGGCTATGACTGTCTGTTCCCCAGAGGGAGGGTGGAACATCTTTTCATATGCCACACCATCCCTGCTCAGTTTAAGGGATGGGGGTTTGCTGCACTTTTAGCCTAAAGGACCAAATCAGAAGGCACAAGGAAATTCCTGAAATCCTAAACTAATATCATCATGAAGATATACGTGAAATGAAAACATTCTTTGATGTGTTCTCATTCTTTGGGGGACAGAAGGGATAAGAGGAAGGAAAACACAGCCAATTCACCCAATCGCCATGCTCAAGAGAGGACACCTTCTTCCCCAACCCTCCATGGCTTATTTATTTGTTTACTGTATTTGCCTGCTGCTCAATAACGAAAAGGTTATCTGGATGGCAAAAAGGGAAGAATTAGGAATAAAAAAAGAAAGGCAATAACCTAACATTTAAAAAACAAAGGTAACTGTCTTGGCTCATGAGGAAAAAACAAAGAAACCTCAAATCCACAGCTGGAAATACCTTTATTTATACAATCATACCTTGGTTTTTGAACAGAATGCATTCTGGGAGTTCATTCAACTTCTGAAATGTTCAGAAACCAAGGTGCGGCTTCCAATTGGCTGCAGGAGCGTTCTTTGCAGGAGGCAAAGTTCACAAACTGAACTCATCTACTTCTGAGTTTGCGACTCGGTTCCAAGTTGTTCGTGAACTTAGTTGTGAACTTAGTTGTTAACGTAGTTGCGGTTCCAAGTTGTTCGTGAACTAAGTTGCTCGAAAACCAAGGTACGACTGTATTACAAAATATGAAAACAGGAGCAAAAGGTAGCCCCAGCATAACAAACGTACATCAGGACTACCAGTTCTCACAGGCCTTAAAATGTCCAGAATCTCAGGGCATCATAAATTATGTTTAAACCCAAGGGAAATAAAAAAGAACATCTTCACCCAGTGATGATCAGATCAGAGGGTTGAAGCCACTTGAGACTCTAGTCTGAGGAGGACACTGTATGCCTGAGGTGCTTGCTGTTCACGGCACACTTGACATGGGATGCAAAAGCTGCCACCTTAAAACAGTGAGTCCGACAATCCGCTGGTCATGAGCATGGAAGGGGCAGGGACAAACACAGGCAAAGGGGGTGGGTCTCATGCATTGACCTCCTAAGAAAACAGGCAGAAATCCATGTAGGTTGAGGCAGTCATGCAATCACGTCACCCCACATTCAGGTCCTGATTTCCCAATACAAGCTGGGAATTTACCACACCTTCTTTTTTTAAAGGTCACTACAAAGGTTTCATGGTTCACTTTTGAAGAACATAAACTATTATCTACGAAGTTTGGGTGGAGCTCAGATCCCCATTCAGCATGACTTCAATGGAAGGGCCTTAGGCAAGCTATTCCCTCAGGCTCCATACTAGGAATGGGGAGACTCAGATTCACATCCCCACTCCCTGGGTGACCTTGGGCCAGTCACAGTCTCGCAGTCTAATCTTCCCCCACAGGGTTGTTGTGAAGAAGGAAATGTTTGGAAGATAAAAAAATGTCAACATATAAATGACACAAACATGACAATAATACAGACCAGAGGTGCCATCTTCTCAAGATGATTGAGGGGGCCCATGCACAATGTCACAAGGAGCATGGGGATGGAGCTGGACCCCCTCTGAACGTTGAGGGGGCCAGGCCCCCTTGAAAAACACACTGGGGGGGGGCAAAATTGGCATGTATGATACAGACCTACCTAACTAGGGTTACAACCAAATCAAAGCACACACAAGGCAAGTAACCATATATAGTCTTTCTGTGTTAATCCCAGCCTCTCTTCTGTCTATTTTATCTTCTGTATCTGGTTTTAGATTGTAAACGTCTTCGGATAGAGACCTGTCCTCTTGTCCTCTGCAAAGCATAGGCACAACAATGGTACTCTATCAGTGGCGTAGCGTGGGGGGTGAAGGGGGGGCCGGCTGCACCGGGCACAACATCTGGGGGAGGGCGCGGAAGAGACTCGAGTGCTAAAATCCACGGGTTAGGGGGCGCAAATTACTTGCCTTGCCCCGGGTGCTGACAACCCACGCTACGCCACTGTACTCTATTAACAATGAGTGTAGATGAACTGCTACAAACACTTCAAGGTAGGGTTTTGAGGGGAGGGCTGTAGCTTTGTGGTAGAGCATCTGCTTTGTATGCAGAAGGTCCCAGGTTCAATCCCTGGCATCACCAGGCAGGACTGGGAATGTCCCCCATCTGAAACCCTGGATAGCTGCTGCCAGTGTAGACAATGCTGAGCTTGATGAACCATACAGGCAGTTTCCTAAATTCTTATGGCCTTAAAATCATGAATCATTTTGAGACCTAACCATCAGTCAGCCATCAGGTTCAATAAAAAGACAGTAAAAAAGGTAAAGGGGACCTCTGACCATTAGGTCCAGTCATGACCGACTCTGGGGTTGCGGCGCTCATCTCGCTTTATTGGCCAAGGGAGCCGGCGTACAGCTTCCGGGTCATGTGGCCAGCATGACTAAGCCGCTTCTGGCGAGCAGCACACAGAAACGCTGTTTACCTTCCCACCTATTTATCTACTTGCACTTTGATGTGCTTTCGAACTGCTAGGTTGGCAGGAGCAGGGACCGAGCAATGGGAGCTCACCCCATCGTGGGGATTTGAACCGCCGACCTTCTGATTGGCAAGTCCTAGGCTCTGTGGTTTAACCCACAGCGCCATCTTGGAAAAATTGGTATTTGGTTACTGCACAGCCAAAAATTCACCCATGTGCCCAACCACAGCCCACATTCCCCCAATTGAGTTTTTATAAACGAGTTTCCAGTATTGTGTGAATCAGTTGCAGCTCAACAGGTCAGCAGTGCCAGGAAGGGGGCATCTCCGTTGAATCCTCTCCAGATCCTTCAAATGCAGTCTGCAGCCAAGGCTGCTGCAGGGGATACTGGAATGTACACTCCTAACTGCAGTGTACACAGCCCACTCCCCCCACCCCAGTTACAGAGCCCGAAGCTAGATCTGTTGAAAGGATTAGATGGAACAAAGAAGAAAACTCTTTTCCTGGCTGCAGCTCGGTCTAGAGGATGTTATTAAATTTAATATGATCAGGACTCGAAGTGGGGGAAAGGGGAGGGGTGGAGGAGACCAAATCCCACAAGGAGTTGGCCCCGGGCCCAGCAACACGCGATGCCTGAAGGAAGACAAAAGTTCTTGTGAGAAGCTCGGGTCCCTACACACCCCAGCCCCCAACGCCTGCGAAGTGTTTACAGTCCTGCAAAAAAGAGAATGGCGCACGAGAGAAAGAGGCTTTGGAGAGAAAAAGGAAATGATGGGTTTCGTGCTGGATGAGGAGGGGAGGAGGAGGAGGAGGAGGAGGAGGAGGAGGAGGAGACCCTCTGGCACGCAAGCCCCCAGCAAACGCGCTGTCGTGGACGCCCTGCGCTTCTGCAGGGGAGGGGGAGAGAGATCAACGCTCACATCCAACCCGAGAAAGAGCCGAGGCGCTGGGAGACACGCGCAGCTCCAGCCCTGTGTGCAGCCTTCGAGGAGGAAAAGTCACACGCACGCACGCTGCATGTATGTGCGCGCGCACACAAAAGGAAAAGTCTCCAAAACACACATGCTGGGCCAGCGCCTTAGTGGATGCGGCGTAAATCAAAGCGTAATGGGGGGCGGGGGTGGAATCTGCCTTGCCAGACTTCGGATGTTTGCGCGCACACACACTGGGGGCCAGCTGGCACAGATCACAGGAGGCTTTTTGCAATATTCATACATACTAGCAAAGTTTCGACATGGGAGGTGGGGGAGGGGGACGGGGAGGGAAAAAGTCTCTTTTCTCCCCCTGGAGTTTACCATTCTAGAATCAGGCCCACAGCTAAACGCGCGCGCACACACAAAATCCACGAGAACCTAAAAGCCGCCCCCCCCAAACTCCCACCTACAAGTATCGAGGCAGTTTGTAAGTTTCGGGAACAAGCGCTCTCTGTGCTTACCTGCGCTGGGGGATGGGAAGGGCGCCGGATCCACCTGGGGGTTTCCATGGAGCGAGTCAGAGCGGCTGGACGGCTCGCTTCTCACCTGGGACATCGGACTGAGCCCTGCGAGAGACGCCACACGCAGAGAAAGAGACACACAGAGAGAAGCTCATTGAAGACGCTCCCTCCACCGCCGGCCCACAAGGCGCGCTCTCTCCCATGGAGATGAATCAGCCGTTTAGGTGGAGAAACCGCGCCGCGCCAGCCCAGGCGCCCTCGGTCCTCTCGCCCCACAACCTGCCCCAAAGGCCATTCCCCTTCGCGAGGAAATCCGAGCCCCAAATTGCCTGCTCTAGACACCTTTCCGCCCCTTGCCAGCTGCATGCAGGAATTCAGCAACACCTCTCCCTCCCTCAATCTCTCTAACACGTCCCCCCACCCAATAAATCGATAGGGGAAGGGTGGAGAATTGGAAAAGGACTTACTTTGGGGGAATCGTTTAACGGCGCTCCCACAAGCCGAGGGTCATCTTACTGTCTTCTCCATACAAGTTTCTCTCTCGCTGCCAGCAATTCAGCCCCTTTTAAATTGGGCTCAAACTCAAAGCACAACTTTTGGCTCTCTGCCCCGTTATGAAGAGTCTTTCACACACTTCATGAGAAATGGGGGGGGCGCTTTGCTTCACTCCTTTATCTCCGCAGCTTGTCCTTTATTGCACTGTTTGGTTGCAAATGGACAAGTTTCTGCCTCTCCCCCTCGCCCCGTAAGCTCTGCCTCCAGCCTCTTCCACAGGAAATTGCATTCAGCCTTCATTACTCAGTTTCCTTCAAGCAGGAGATATTTGGAGTTCAGGCAACCTATAATAAATTGCTTGGCGCTAAGGTTTCTGGTGGTTGTTGCTGGGTTTTTTTTGTTTTTTAGCAGCAAAAGTAAACAGATGCGCGCACACAATTCCACAAACCCACTTTCCGCAAAGTTTGTTTTTTTTTAAAGAAGAGGGAGGGGCAAAGTGAAGCCGATTTTCGCACTCCTGTGAGGGAAGTACCAGAACCCTAATTTACATGTGGCAGATCTTCAAAGTAAACTTTTGTGTCTGCTTATACACCCAACTTTTCAAAGAGTAGCAACAGTGAGACTAAAATCATATCAAAGGCCTGTTGCCAGTTAAAAAAAGTAGGGGGGCAGTTTATTCCTGTCTACACACCAGTGTTTTACTTGTATTAATTAAACCTCTGTTGATAATGATAACAATCATTACTATTACAGCCGTACCTTGGTAGTCAAATGGAATCCATTCCGGAAGTCCGTTTGACTTCCAAAACGTTCGAAAACCAAATCACAGCTTCTGATTGACTGCAGGAAGCTCCTGTTTGGGTTCCAAAAGAATGTTCACAAACCAGAACAATCACTTTCAAGTTTTCAGGAGCTAAAACGTCGCAAGTTCCAGGGTGTTCGGGATCCGAGGTATGACTGTACCTGCACAGGCCCTGCAGCAGATTCTTGTAGCGAAGAAAATAACCCCAAACATTTTTACACAACTTTTGCATGTATGGTACTGCTGGACTCTTACTTACAGCTTATCTCACAAGCAACCCTTGATTTAGAAGTTGGCATACCTTAAAGCAAGGATGGGGAACCTTGGGCCTGCCAGATGTTGTTGGACTACACCTCCCATCATCTTTGACTATTGGCCATTCTGGCTAGAGCTGATGGGACTTGAAGAGCAACAACATCTTACAAGCCAATGGTTCCCCTACCCCTTTGTCTTAAAGCGTCAGAGCAGCAATCGAGGTGAATAGAGACCACTCAGAGAAGAGATTAGAGAGATTTTCTTACATACACACCCTTTTGGTAATTTTTCATTGTTTCATGTTGCAACATTTTCATAGAAATGAAAAAACCGGCCTGGTTGCCTCTCCCACCTGACTTTGTTTAAGAACTAGTCACATGGCAGGCGTGGCGGAGACAAGAGACATAACTGGCATTCTTTGCTTCCCCATTACAACTTTGTTTTTTGTTTTTTTTTTAATAAGATATTTATTAAAGTTTTCAAAATTTTACAAAACACACAAAAAAGAAAAAATACAAAGTAAAAATATTTAAAAACAATTCATTCCTTCCATTACTTGACCTTCATTTGCTTATTTCCAGGACCTCCTCACACCTTCCTGTTTTGTATTCCAGTTCAGTTATTTCGTTCAGCAGATCCCTCCCCTCTTTATATATCCTAATCATTAATCATAAAAATTGTATTTTTAGGTTTTTACATATTAATAAACCCTTTTTTCATATTCCCTTGTAACCTTTCAGCTAAAGACCACTTAGTTTCTATCCAACAACATTCTAGCATTCATTAATTTTACAATATTTCTGTAAATAATCTTTGAACTTTTTCCAATCTTCCTCCATCGACTCTTCTCCCTGGTCTCGGATTCTGCCAGTCATTTCTGCCAATTCCATATAGTCCATCACCTTCATCTGCCATTCTTCCAAGGTGGGTAGGTCTTGTGTCTTCCAATACTTTGCAATAAGTATTCTTGCTGCTGTTGTGGCATACATAAAGAAAGTTCTGTCCCTCTTTGGCACCAATTGGCCGACTATGCCCAGGAGAAAGGCCTCTGGTTTCTTCAAGAAGGTATATTTAAATACCTTTTTCAATTCATTATATATCATTTCCCAGAAAGCCTTAATCTTTGGGCACGTCCACCAAAGGTGAAAGAAAGTACCTTCATTTTCTTTACATTTCCAACATTTATTATCGGGCGCATGGTAAATTTTTGCAAGCTTGACTGGTGTCATGTACCACCTGTATATCATTTTCATAATATTCTCTCTTAGGGCATTACATGCCGTAAATTTCATACCTGTGGTCCACAACTGTTCCCAGTCAGCAAACATAATATTATATCCTAGATCTTGTGCCCATTTAATCATAGCAGATTTCACGGTTTCATCCTGAGTATTCCATTTCAACAACAAGTTATACATTCTTGACAAAATCTTAGTATTGGGTTCTAACAATTCTATTTCCAATTTTGATTTTTCCACCTGGAAGCCAATTTTCTTATCCAAATTATATGCCTCCATTATCTGATAATAATGAAGCCAGTCTCGCACTTTATCTTTTAATTTTTCAAAGCTCTGCAATTTCAATTTGTCTCCTTCCTGTTCCAAAATTTCCCAATATTTCAGCCATTTGGCCTCCATATTGAGCCTTTTCTGAGCCTTTGCTTCCATCGGTGACAACCACCTAGGGGTTTTATTTTCCACCCCATTACAACTTTGGTCCTGGGTTTGTTAGATATCCCACCAGGATCAAAGGGAGCTGGCTAGCAAACGAGGCTCAGCAAGTAGAAATTAGAAAGTTGTATTAGGTTAACTCTTGGTCATTAATTTTATTACCACCTGCGTCAAAGTGGCACAAATTAGAGTTCGCATGTTTAGCTGGACTCATTGAATATGTTTTGTTTAGCTTCCTTTCTTGCTGAGACTGCTGGGAGTTGTAATCCAGAACCTTGTGGGGTGGGGCACCAGGTTTGCAAAGGTCACTAGAATAGGTGGAGTAAAACTGGACCTCCAGGCATGGGGTACATGCCACAGAGTCGCATCTTCACAGAAATGCTTTTTAGACTACCCAGGCTATTCTTTTCACAGTTTTGACAATCAATATTTTAGCTTGGGAGGTGCCACGGGCCAAGGGTCTCAGGCAGCATAGGGGCTGCCACTGCCTTCAGTATCAGGTAGCTAAACTTTGAATAGCATCGTCTGACGAACAACTTTTGCAATTAAACCGACAGCTTATACTATTAGGATTTTAATTCACACCAGCTAGTAAAACTTGCAATGAAGTTGTCATATAAACATCAAATGAACGTAAGTTATAGGTTCAGGGCGGGGTAAGTACAATTTACGTTGACATATTTGTTTTTGGTTCAGATATCATTTTACAGCGAGATAGAAAGTTTGCTCAAGAAGGTGTCAATACTCAACCTAATTTGCTTTATGAGTTCCAGACTTGTACATCATGGGCATGTCCACCTCTGTTAGGTGTTTTGTATTCAGGTACTGTATACACTAAAGCCGTATTAGTCACCCATAAAAGTGTCTGTTTCTTTCCTTTCAGCATCCATTGCTTTCGTTAACGCAATGTTCCAGACTTTATTATGGTACGCCAATGATCTAAGGTGGCATCCTTCAGATCTTTCCAGTTTTAGGCAATTGTGAGTCTTGCTGCTGCCAGCGTGAGGCATCCTGGAGTTTTACTGCTGAGGTCCATATTTTCTCCTGTAATTCTTAAAATTCCAACTAGCTAGTATAAGTATACCACTCTTTCCTTCAGTGTGTGGCAGTCCAGCAGTTCTCAGTATCTTAATCTATGGTGTATAAGAAAAAAGACTACAGCACAAATCTTACATGCAAAAGGTACCAGGTTTAATCCTTGGCATCCCCAGCTACAAATTGCTCAGCTGAGGAATCATAATAGCCCTGCTAGTTAATATTTGGGTCAGTTTTGCGAAAGACCTCAGAGACCCTGGAGGACCTGCTGGTCACAGTACTGTCAAAAAGGGTGCATGCCACCCCCGATTTATGCTGAGCCGTGTACAAGATTCCAGGAAGTTCAGGGCGCTCCCCCAAGGTCATGTTTCCGTTGATATTCAAGATGCGGCAGAGGCTGTAGTGTCTTTAAGAAATGAGGTTTAATTACACATACAGTGGTACCTTGGTTTTAGAACAGCTTAGTTTATGAACAACTTGGAAATAGAATGCTGCAAACCCAGAGGTTTCAGTGTGTGAACTTTGCCTTGGAAGCTGAACATGTTCCGCTTCCTGTTGAGTGTGTTCCATTTGTAAATTGAGTCCCCCCACTGCTAACCAGAGGCTTTCAGCTGTTGAGTCCCAAGCACCCACATAACACAGAGGTGATATTTGGAGCTTTTGTTTTTGCTATTTTTATTGCGTTTTTGTTTGTGTGGCTTTTTTGTTTTTTTGACTGTGACTTGTTCTTCATTTTATGTGATTGTGGCTTGTGACTTTGTTTTTGTGACTTGCTTTTGTGACTGTGTGGAACCCAGTTCAGCTACTGATTGATTGTGTGACTGCAGAAATGGATAAAAGCCCCCCATCCAAACAATGACTATCATCAGTGCACGTAAGGAAAAAAAAGTAATTTTAATTTTTATCGTCTACAACACTGTCTTATTTATTTTATAGTACAGTACATTGATTATTGCTTTCATTTTATGGATCAATGGTCTCGTTAGAGTAGAATTCGTGTTAAATTGCTATTTTAGGGGTTGTTTTTAAAAGTCTGGAACGCATTAATCCATTTTGCATTATTTTGTATGGGAAAGTGTGCCTTGGTTTTAGAACACTTTGGTTTTGGAACAGAATTCCGGAACAGATTAAGTTTGGGAACCAAGGTACCACTGTATTTACGTCTGTGTTTAGATAAAGGGGGTGCAGATCTTACAGCATTGTTATCCATAGCAGCCTAACATTGCAGTCTGAGCCATCGTAAGCACCATCCCTTGGTTCCTACCTTCCAGCCAGCTCTCATGGCTGCTACCCTTCAGCTCCTGCATGGTGTTCTCCCGACTTCCTTGATTGTTCCCAGAAACCCCCTGTCCAAGCCCCTCCTCTCCATCCATCTGTTATCCCAAGCCTAGTTTTAAAAAGGCACATTTTTCCTGTGAGCGCACAGCCTGCCCCCTCCCCTGTTTTCAATCCTAAACCATTCTCCTCCCACAGTAACCATGACAACTATGTTTTGCACAGATCCAAGGATTTCTCTGGGATGGGCCATCAACACCTTTTGTTGTATTAACAGCCTCTATCCTAGGTGAGGCCCTGGCTTGAAAAAGGGAGCTTAGCCTGTATTTTTCCACTGGCCTGGAATATTCCCTTCCATACTCCAAATATTATCTAAATACTAGTGTTTATTAATTTCTGCCATTCAATAACAGACTCTGGTACCCCAGTTATAACAGT